TTCCTGGTAGTGATTTCTGGTTATAGGCCCATAAAAGTATCTATAGGATGTGGTTGGGATAGTTCCTACCTCTTGGTAAAAGCCTAGTAGTAACACAGGAAGGGGGCAGACTTTGGGGACAAGAGACATTTAAAACTGTTACTGATCATGACATTACGAAAAATCAAAGGACAGGGCCATGGCCCATGTTTTGTAATCTCCGTGTGAATACTATAAGGGAACTTCTAAGCCCTGATCAACTGTGAAACGAACAGGTCTTCAGTTGAGTTAATTAGCATTTTACAGGTGATTTGCTGTTTACAAGATCCTTTATTTCATGTGTCTTATCTCGTTTGTAACAGATCTTCTTCTTTCATAGTCACCTTTTCCTTCTCTCTGAGATTCAGAGACCCTTTGGGGAGGCCGAATTTCAGGTTTGTTTTCATTTGGAGCTTACAAGACCAAATCCCCCCTCTTGGGGTTCCAGGGGTGCTCCTTCATTTTAGTATCTGACAGGTATGCCATGAATTGTGACATTTAAGCAGTGACTTTGCAAATTGGACTTGTCAGTAGGAAAAAGTACTCTTCCCACCTTAAAGATTGACAGGAACATGAGATGGCTGAAGCTGTCCTGGGCTGTTTTCTGGCAAGAGTACATAGGACAAGAAATACTCCGGAGAGCTCAACATTGAATCACATCATATCATAGTGCATGACTAGTTGCTTTAATCTTGCAGTTGGACTCACTCAGGATAAATTGTTGGCAGAGGAATTAAGCAGCCTGACAAAATTATATTCAGAAAAAAAACTTGCAGTATATTAATTTATTAGTAGTAGGCATGAAGAAAAGAAGAGTAAGGTTTAAAAAAATGGACATGAAACCACTGATAAATCCACAAAGACCCCATTACAGTTTGTTACCAGCCTCTTACCCCTGGCCATGACTGATGGCTAGTCGTTGTCTGAATAAGTTTTTAACCATTTGTAAATTTCTTCAGGAAAATAAAAATCTAGTAAAGGGAGAAGGGTGACCACAAGTCAAGCTGTGAATGAGGAACTACTGAAATGTGGGCCAAGTGGGTCACTGAATTTGCCGTGTTTGACTCTTCGGTTGCACCACTTTGAACTTTTGAAGTTTGATCCTCCCAGTGGTGTTTCTGAGGTAGAGAGGCTGGGATTAGATTGCAGCCTGAGAAATCCCACAGACGTGATTCTACTGTAATCTTACTGTTCTGTCTTGCTCCTTGATAACTAGTATCCCATTAAAGGGGGTTCATTATTGACATCTCAGAAGAAGCTCATTGTGAAGTCTAAAAGTGCCACTCTTCCCTACACCAGCTCTGCCTCCCATATTCCCCATTATTTTCCCTATCACCCAGAGTCATAACCTCAGAGAGATCCTTGGCTCCTTCCCCTTCTTTCAGTCCTTGCAACCCTGTCCCACAGTGTCCCTTACATCTAGTCTTTCCTTTCCATGCCCATTGCCCTGCCTCTCATTTTTTCAGTCTTACCTTGCATCTCACTGGAGAGTACCCTGTGCTGTCTCCCTGTCTCCTCTCTTCCTCGGAGATCTGCCTGCTTGCCTGCCTGCCTGCCTGCCTGCCTGCCTTCCTTCCTTCCTTCCTTCCTTCCTTCCTTCCTTCCTTCCTTCCCTCCCTCCTTCCCTCCCTCCCTTCCTTTTGTTTTTGTTGCCCGGGCTGGAGTACAATGGCATGATCTTTACTCACAGGTTCAAGCAATTCTCCTGTCTCAGCCTCCTGAGTAGCTGAGATTACAGGCATGTGCCACCACTCCCAGCTAATTTTTATATTTTCAGTAGAGGTGGGGTTTTACCATGTTGGCCAGGCTGGTCTCAAACTCCTGACCTCAAGCGATCTGCCCACCTCCACCTCTCAAAGTGCTGGGATTACAGGCGTGAGCCGCTGCTCCTGGTCGAGATCTGCTCTTCTTATCACTGTTTACATGACTCCATCTCATTCATCCCTTGCACCAGTTGCAGCAAGGTCCTCCAGGTGTGGCTTTCTCTCCTCTCTAGCTTTAGGTTCCACTCCTTCCTTATCCTGTGCTTCTGTCACACTCCAACCACCCCAGCTGCATCCTGCTTCTTGAACCTTCCCTATGTTTTTCTCATATCTTAGCTGACATGGTACCTTTTTCTTAGAACACTCCCTCCTCCTTCTCTCCATGTCAAAGTCTTCATCATTTTTCAGGGACCAGGTCAAATGTCATAACATCCATCAAGTCTTTTTGATTTCTAAACCAGATGTAATCTCTCCCTGTGATACATCTCAGGACCACTTTATGTATTTCTTGTAATATTTGTCAAGCTCTGCCTTACATGGTAGTCATTTGTATATTTATCTTGTTACGCTTGAAAGTAAGGATTGTATTTTATTCTTTGTGACCAGGAAAATATCTTGCACCACATAGTAGGGCATCTGTTCAATAAGTGCTTGTCATATACAATAAAATAATGGCTGGGGTGGCATTATTTGTAGGTGAACCCAACAATAGGTCATAATGCATCTGTAGATAGTAGGAACATAAGGATGTGTAGATAAACCCTGAAGTAAGTGATTCGCAGAGGATCACATGGAAGGGAACCTTAGGGAGTTTGATGCCTAGCACTCACTGAAAAAAAATTGTCCTAATATTGCTAGAGTATGAGACTAGAAGGCCTGAAATGTAGCCATCACACACCAAAGACAGTTGCTCACCAAACACCAGCCAACTCGACCAATAGTATATAAAGGTGCTTTGTAAACAGTACAGTGGTTCTTAAGGATATGATTAAGCACCATACTGTTAATGTGTAACAAGAGTGACTCAGATGCCAATGAACACTGTGACTCCAGGTACCTGTGAAATAACCAGCAAGGGTTCCGAACCACTGATCCAAGACAGGACAAAGTTGCCAACTATTCTTCCTAATAAATTGTTTTTCATCATGCAAAGGGTCTTTTCTGTTTTGGTTTTGTGGAAGGTCTAATTTTGTGCCTTGAGGACATCTGCAGTAGGGTCAGATGTCAGAGCAAGCAGGAAGTTGTCATGCTTCATGAAGTTTTGAGGAAGGCAGAGTTACCTGTTGATGGAAATGGAAATAAGTGGAATAAATTCTGTTGCAGGGCTAAGCTCCCAGCCCATGCTGGCTGGTCATAGTTGACTAATTCATGATGGTCAAAAAGTGATTCTCTTGTCTTTGAATTTTCTCTTTTATTTTAGGCAAAACAGATTTGTTTTTTGATAGCTTCATAAGGCTGTCTGTCCATATTCTGTTGTCACTTTTCAAAATGATGAGAAACCTAAAGAACTACCATACTTGCTAAAAGAAGACACTAACTGATGCATAGCTTGAAACAGGAATTGACTTCCTAAAGGATAGTATTTGGCACACCAAGCACTGCAAGAGAGGCATTTCAGCATACATGGGCTCTTCCTAAAAATATACTTTACTAACATAAAACATTCAGGGTTCATTAAGATTAATCATCTAATAAAGTAAGAGAATTTTCTCTAGGTGAAAAGTTTCAGTTTATTTTAGGGGTGTGGTGGTGTTATAACCGGCTAATCTCCCCACCATAATTTAATCAGGCTAGATAAGAAAGAGACTAGAAAGGCATGGAGCGAGAGCACAGCATAGCGTCTCTTCTTTTCCCAGGCTCATTTTTTCCCCCAACATGTACTAAATTTGCTTGTAACAACCTGGCTTTTATTGTATCATTTTCTAGCTAAATGAGAGTTACTGATGTCAGCTACCTTTTAGAATAACTTTTCCTTAAATGTTTGAAGATCATAGGAGTTGGGAAACTCATTCATTGATTTATTCAGGGAACATTTATTGCTTGCCTACTCTGTGCTGTAGGAACATTAAGGCAAGCAAAACACTGCCCTGGCCCTCAACCTGGTAGGGGGATGTGTGAATAGGGTCAAAACCAGTAACATGCACTGTTCAACAAGACAGTGGCTATAAAGGTGTACCAGCGTGAAGGTCAGCTGCCTGCCTTGAAGTTGAGTGGCCAAAACCACTTTCAGGATTGCAGGTAAGACTATGTTTTGGAGGTTTGATGGACTTTTTAGTTATTTAGTTCATTCTTTCAAGGAATCATTATTGGAGGCTCTCCTGGGAGCTGGACAGTGTTCTAGGCTCTGGGGCCACTGCAGTGGGCTCCAGTACTAAATCCCTGCCTTCCTGGAGCAGAGCAGGAGATCAGACAACAAGGAGAGAAATCAGTGCAATACCAGCAGACTTGAAGTGGTGAAAGGAACAACCATGGGGGCCCCTGTGCCCTCTGTGAGAAGGCCAGTGAGGCAGGAGTGAGGGAGGGTAAGGGGGCTGAAGATAAGGTCAGAGAAGAATTTGGGAGAAGATCCTGGAGGCACTTAGGGACTGTCTTTTCCTAGAGCACGCTCCTAATGACTAGCGTCCAGCCATCTGATGGCCTGTTGAGCTGTTACAACATGTTAGGTTGATGTCTTTATTTTCATTCATATTTTTCCTTTTATTATCCCTGACGCTTAAAAGCAAGAGGTTGAGTTTGTGAGACGAAATGTCTTCATTGTATCTGTGGTGGGGATACACGTAGTATCCCCATCTTGTTCTGTGCTGCCTGCCATTAAGGAGGTGGGGTGATTAGAAGCACTCCCCTTTCTGGTACGGTAGTCTGCTGATCTCTGGAACATACCAAGGAGGATGTAGAGTGACAACATCTATAATCCCCTTAACCTCTATATTCATAGAGTCTAATCTCCTTGAATTACACTGGTAACATAAGTCTATCTTTTAGAGTTAACTTTTATCATTAACAGCACAAAAATGTATTATTTATAGGGCCAAATGCAAGCTCTTGAGGCATATAAAGTGGATTAGTAAGGTTGGCTCAGTGTTAAGCTATGCCAGAGCCGAGTCCAAATTTTATTCCAGTACAGGGATGACTTTCTATGTGGCCTCTCTGGCTCTGGAGCTAATTTGGATGCTGAGTAGCCCTGCAGGTATTTATATGTAGCGTTTGGTATTTTTACTGGGTCCTATTCTTCTCCCTTGGATCACCTAAAATGGTTAAGAATTTTCTAGTGGGATTAAGGTTGTGATCTCTGGGGAGGGGTGGGACATCTGCTCTCAGTTATTTTTGTGTTAGCTGCTTCCCCTTAAATGTATGTTCACAAATGAGCCACAGCCTTATCAGCTGGGGTTGAGGGAAGACGGGTCTAGGTGCTGCTCCTGAAATTGGTCTCTGAGCCATGGCTTCCCATAGACACTCAGGTAAAAAATTAATGCTCTTTATCTTATATTGAGCACAGTTTTGTTAGGGCAGTGAATCCATCATTTGGCTAAAAGATGGTTTTTGATGAAATGATTTTAGTCTTGTCTGAATAGTAAATAAATTATGGCTTGTCTCTGTTTTGCCTTTGCATTTCATGCTATTTCAAAGCAAAATATTGTTCAAGTACAATTAACAGTTTGAGTGGCTTATTTTAAAAAAAAAATGTATATAAACATGTTACCACGATATTTTACCTTTTTCAGGACATCTCATGAAACTATAAGAGATTATGTGAGGAAAGGTTTTTCTGCTTAGGAATTTTTGGTTTTCTTTTTCCTAAGAGAGAATTCTTCATCTTGACAGTGCTTTAAATCTAAGGTGTTTGAAGAAGGTAAATCGAATGTGGAACTGGAAAGGGGAACATTTGTAACTAAGAAAGTCCGCAATGACCTAACACATCTTCCCTTTTTCTGACAATGTTTTAAATCTTCCCAAAGTAACCACTATGGTCCTTTTGATATGATAAATATGTTATTGTTTTTAGCAGAAAAAGGGGCACATTTTGGACTCCTTAGGTCATGAGCATTTTCTTCTGTTTTTGTAACCTTACAATTAAGGAAGCCTTTTGGCCATTGACAAGAAATCTATGAATTAGGGGCTGAGGGGACAAAAGCCCAGTCCTTGAAGCCAGGAGGGTGGCTGTGGCCCTGTGGCCCACTGCTTAAATAACGGTTCCCTTTCTTGGAGCTGGTAAAGTCAGACAGTTGGGTGTAAATAAGGCATTTCGTCCTGTCTCCCGGCTTTCAGATTAAGAGACAAAGTCATTATGGTTTTTTTTGAAAAAATATTTTCAAAATTATTATTATACTTTAAGTTCTGGGTTACATGTGTAGAATGGACAGGTTGTTAACATAGGTATACACATGCCATGGCAGAAAAATCATTTTTTAAAACTTGTTGCCTGTCAATATTTGAACAATGGAAATTTCTCTTTTTGGGGTTTTGAAGTAAATATGCTGCAATGGAATTCCCTACCTTAATGAATTAATATGCAATGTCTTCCCTGTTCCCAAGTGTTCAAAAGTTGTGGTTTTTTTTTTTTCCCCAACCCTCAGGAACTGTTTCACAAACATGGTACCAAATGCTTGAGATTGTGGTTATCAGCCAAGATACACATTCTCTGTGTGTAAGCAAACTAGTCAGCTGTACTAGTTGTCCTGATGAACCTTAAATGCATGTTACCTGGTAGAGTGACTCTTCATTTTATTTACTAATTAAGTGACAGAATAGTGACAGAAAGTTTAAAAGGTGACATATTTACAGCTTACCGAACCTTGGGTTTTAAATTGCAACAAATTCTTATGTCATTCTTGTATATGTAAGTCTGGAGGCTATAATAATTGTGGCTAAATGAGACCAATTATTTACACCTTTTAGATGATTTTTGAAATCGGGAAATAGCATTTTGTGTTGCATCAGGTTCATAGGTTCATGAAAGCAGAGAAGAATCAGTCCATGAGAGAGAGAAGTCCTCATAGAAAATCAGTGTTGCCCTGAAATGGGCTCAGTATGGGCGAAATAGAAGCTAGGATAATTGGATCAAAATCCATTTTTAGTGACTGTCCATATACTGAGAGGACATTTCAGGGACAAAAAAATGTTTACTCTTGACATTGAAGACTTTCAGTCTGCAAAATTATGTAGATTTAATTTCTTTACCCTTTGGCCTTTCAAGTTGAAGACTAGGATTGGGGTGTGGAGGGGAATCAGGTCACTTGCCATATTACACAGCCGTCAATTCCCTTCACCAGCCACTGCTCAGTGGGCTACACAAGCCTGCCCGTCTTTTCTTGGGGCAGGGATGGAAAATGGGAGGGTAGGGTGAGAGGAGAGTAATCAAACTGCATTGGCTTCTTAAAATTCAGAAGATTTGGGTGAGGGTGAAACTGAACATTTTGTACTTTTAAGGACCACCAAATGTCTGCCTACTGCTTCACCACAACTGGAGAAACGAAAGACTCATGCTTTTTTGCTGCCGGGTCAGAGATGCTTTTTTCCCATATGAAAGAGGGGATGTGTTGTACATAATCCATGCAACATTGTGAAAAACCTTCAGACAGACAAAATGGTGCTAGAATCGAATCTGGCCTGCAGGAAGTTCAGTGGCACATAATTTTTCTTTTAATAATCTGTATTGAGCCCTCCTGACACCCAATATAATCTAAAATGGCATTAGTTATCAGTGACCCCAAAAAGATTTGTTTTTTTTTCTAAATGCAGCACACCAGTGAAGTTGCTAATAACATTGAATCATTCTGTACACGTTCTATTTTGAAAGGAAAAAACACTTTCTGATTTTTGTATGAAATTGTATGAAAGACTACTTTTCAGCTGTGACTCATGAGCTCCATCTCATTGCAGCTACTTAGGTTCTTATTCCCAAATGTCTGACGACATCTCCAGGTGCCTTAGCATGTCTGCTACACAAATGTCCTATTCATCAGCTAAGGCTTTGCTCCATTTGTTGAATGTTCTGAGGAAAGCATTATACCCTTTCTGTAGACGCCAGTGTTTATATGTGGAGTCACTAATGTACTGGTATGTTGGATTTAGTGATGAACAGATCTGAAATAACCTGTTTCCCCCCCCCATTTGGGTTGTTTATTGTTTACACTGTACATTACACCCTTCAGGGAAAGCACATAGAAAAATGCTACCTACTCACTTTCTTCTTAAATATTCATAGTTTGAGCTACTCAGGCATGTGGGAGAAAATGAACACAAAGAAGAAATACATGAGAAAATACATGTAAAAACACAAGCAAGATATATTAAACACAAATTGAATCTCCTCTAATGAGAAGTTTATAGTAAAAAAGAGAAAAATGTCATAATCTTATATTACTCTTATGTGTACATGATTAAATTGAAAGCCAGAACTTTTAATTAAGATACTGAGGTTTATTTAGGCACCTCTCAGCATGTTGGATGTAGTTCAGGAATGTTCTGAAAAAGGAAGCTTGCTTATTAAGTGAAAAATGATGTGTCTTTTGAAGCAGGCATAGAAAGTCAGGCTACCCTTTTGGAATAAATCTCTAAAATTTTATCACCCAGCCACATTTATAACTGCATTCTAAGTTTGTAAAACTTTTAAAACAATTTTTTAAATTAAATTATTTAAAAATGATGCTTTTTCTGTCTTAGAAAATTAAGGGACATTCATGTGACCCTAAGGTGTAGGTTAGACTTCAGCACCTTACAGGTCATAGGAGATGATTTTTAAAATCAGGAAATAGCATGTCATATTGTATTAGGTTCATAAGTCCATGAAAGCAGAGGAGAATTGGCCCAAGAAAGAAGAGCAGTCCTTACAGAAAGGAAATCAGGGTGGCCCTAAAATAGGCTTGGTATGGACAAAATAGAGGCTCAGATAATTGCATCAGAAACCACTTTTAGTGATCATCCACATACTGAAGTTTTAGAAATATGGTTGTGGTAATTTATCTCCATCTGTCAATCAACAGGCATATACTGAGTGATTCCTGTATACAAGACTGTAGGTTAACTACTGGGGCTCCTCGTGTATGGGCAGAACTTTTTGTGATAGAGAAACTGCTTGATGGCACTAGGGAATGTATCCAAGTCACTCGGCACCAAAGTATGTTAGCAGCGGGGAATCTGTGTGGGTCTGCAGCAACCACAGCTCTTGCCTCCTCAAGGAAGAACAAGGCAGAGGGAGAGGCCAAGGCAAGTTTAGAGCAGAAGTGAAAGTTTATTAAAAAGTCTTAGAGCAGGAGGCTGGGTGTGGTGGCACACGCTTGTAATCCTAGCACTTTGGGAGGCTGAGGCGTTCGGATCACTTGAGGTCAGGAGTCGGAGACCAGCCTGGTCAACATGGTGAAACCCCGTCTCTACTAAAAAAATAAAAATTAGCCAGGTGTGGTGGCATACGCCTGTAATCCCAGCTACTTGGGAGGCTGAGGCAGGAGAATCGCTTGAACCTGGGAGGTGAAAGTTGCAGTGAACAGAGAACGCCATTACACTCCAGCCTGGGTGACAGAGTAAGACTCCGTTTAAAAAATAAAAATGAGAGCAGGAATGAAAGTAAAGTACACTTGGAAGATGACCAAGCAGGCTAATTGAGAGATTCAAGTGCATGGTTTCATCTTTGACCTGGGCTTTTATATGTTGGCATATAAAAGGGGTTATATTACTTCTCTTCTGATTCTTTCATTGGGATGGGCTGTCCGCATGCCCAGTGGCCTGCCATCACTTGGGAAGGGCCGCATGCTCAGTGTTTATTGAAGTACACATGCTTACCTTAAGCGGTGTTTCCCTTAGCAGTGGACCATTCCCAGAGGTAGGTCTTATACCAGCTGAACGCCACCATTTTGCCTCTTAGTGCTCATGCTTGAGCCCACTCACCCAACTCCTGATATCTTATGGGGAAGTGGCTGATCACCAGTTTCAGGTGTTTCTGTCTGTTGGAACTGCATTTCCTTGGTGCTAGCTGTGACCAATCATTATTTTAGAGCGAGAGAGAGTTTAGCAACCACCTAACTTTCACCTGATGGCCACCTGACATTCCTGGTTGAGTGGGGGGCCCTCTCCAGCCGTGCTCATGTCTGATACCTACTCTAGCATCCCTGCTATGAACAGATGAGGGCTACACTGAGACATTAGAATTAGTCAAAGAGCTGCCCGAGGGCAAACATGCAGTCCACAAAGACAGGTGGTAAAGGAAGAAGCATTGTGATGCTATGTAGCAAATGTTTCCTTCAAGGATGGCTGACATGCCCATTCCCAGATAACAACAATAGGTCAAGGCAGACATGTCTAGAAGTTTTGGAAGATTAAAAGCCTTCACATTTAATGTACTTAGAAATCGCTAAGGGGATAAAAAATTACTCCCTAAGAGATAAATGCCTAGGTATATGTAATTCTGTAAGGTTAAAGAGAGCCGAAAAGAAGAGGTAAAATAGTGGCAGGGCGTGGTGACTCTCACCTGCAATTCTAGCAGTTTGGGAGGCTGAGGCGGGCGGATTACTTGAGGTCAGGAGTTTGAGACTAGTCTAGCCTACATGGCGAAACCCTGTCTCTACTAAAATAACAAAAATTAGCAAGGTGTGGTGGCACGCACCTATAGTCCTAGCTACTCAGGAGGCTGAAGTAGGAGAATTTCTTGACCCCGGGAGGTGGAGGTTGTAGTGAGCCAAGATGGCACCCCTGCGCTCCAGCCTGGGAGACAGAGTGAGACCCTGTTTCAAAACAAAACAAAACAAAACAAAACAAAACAAAACAAAACAAAACAAAACAAAACAAAACAAAACAAAACAAAACAAAACAAAACAAAACAAAACAAAACAAAACAAAACAAAACAAAACAAAACAAAACAAAACAAAACAAACACAAAACACAAAACAAAGTAAAATGCGTCTTCGTTTTTCTCTGTTTTCTCATCATTTGCAACAAAAGAAAGTGCAAACTTTTCTCTCCTCGTGAAGTGAAAGCTTGACAGTAGCTCAGACTCTTAGGGAGCCCACACAGGATCTTTGCATGTGTGTCTCAGCGTTGTTGTTTATAAGCTGGCTTTTTAGAGTTGTTTTGGTCTTGTGCACATCATCCATATTTTATACAAAGTTGTGGTATGATCAGTAAGTATCTCCTCCAACTTCATCCTGAGCACACCGCATGCATGAGGGTTTGAAATCTTTTGGTAACAAATAATCATAAAGTTAGAACTGCATGACATAAGCTAATTCAGGTTGCCCAGAGTTCCACTTGATTTATGGCAAAACAAGTACTAAAGTTCAAGAATTTGACATAGACATTGTGAACATACTTTAAGTATTTCTAGCCTGTTTACTTATTAGGCAACAAATCCAACATTCCTAGAAGTGCCTGTTTTATCTTCACTAATTGTTTCCACACACATTAAAAGGACTCAAGTGAATTGTAGAAATCAATTCGAAAAGAATATGCCCTTTGAAATGTTTCTCCATCTGGATGCAGACTGTAGGTTTAAGTATATAGTGGTAGGGAATAGAAGGTGTAAGGTGATCCTGGAGCTTTCATACTAGAGAGTGAAAAAGTCTTGCCTACAGCTCGGATTCAAAAATACCATTAGATGAATCTCTTCTTATGGATACTATTAACTTGGGGTTGTTTCATTTAATTTTCCTTTTGCTTGGTTTAAGACCGTGCACTATAGGAATTATACAGTGGCCAGTGACTTCATTGTCTGACGTTTTCAACATCCTTTGTTATTTCTATCTTTGCGTGTGAGCCATGGATTACTTTATCATCTGGATGCTTAGAACTCTGAGCAAGTCATGTTTTAGAACTATGAGACTAAATGATGAAGAACTTTACATTGGTAATAGAAAAGTTCTGAAAGTGTGTGGTTTTAATGTGTGAAAGACATGGCAGGTAAGATCTCTCAGGTACTCTGAACCGTAATGCAATTTTCCTTCCTTCAAAACCTCAACTTCTAAATGGCATTCACCGTGTTTTCTAGTGTTTTTTTTTTTTATTTCTGTATGACACAAATTAACCTGTATTTTTACCATAAAGCTAGGACTCAAATACTAAGAGGTTTGAGTCACCTTAGGTGGAACTTTATATAGTACTTTAACAGAAATATTTGGAATCCATTTCTGCTTATAAAATTATCAAAAGCAAGTGATACTAAAGCGAGTAGGTTCAATGTTGTATACTAAATAGAGACCTTGGTAAGAGAGAATGAGGGATTTTCAAGTATGGTCCAGAAGACAGTCTCTGAAAGGCTAAAGCAGCCACGGTGACTAGCCATGCAGGAAGCCAGTGCTGTCTAATCTTACAAATTCTGTTTTCCTGCCAAATGGGATTTAGGAGCAGCTGATAATTTAATTTATTACCACTGGCTGTTACTGGAGATTTTATTTGGTTTCTCAACTCAGCCCTTAACAAGAAAGCAAGTCTTTGTTGAGGGCACAATATCAGTATGGCAAAGCTAAGACGAGGCTTCTGTGTGACGTGGGAAAGACCAGCAAGAATGGATTAAGGAGAGTGATTTTCCATATGTTCTCACTGTGACAGGTACTTTCTCTATAGACATGGAGGCTAAAAGCAGTTTAAAAGCTGCTTTGCCTAAACAGTACATAGTTCAAAGAGATAGGCCCTGCGTCCATTGTGTCTCCGGTTTTTGTTTCTAACCCATTATATAAAGGAACATCCCAGTTTGCTTTTTAGAGAAAAGTGCAAGAAAGAATCATTCTCTGGACTTGCTAAGTCTCTTAATTGTGACACAACTGTCCTAAGCAACTGTCCTTGCACAAGAATGTCACTCATCTGCTTCATCTGCCAGCTCCTTAGAGATGAGGGGGGTCTGTTTATGTGTTAGTAGGAGGCAGCAGGCCTTGTGGCTCGTCCAGTGGCCTGATTTCCCTTGTTTGGAGGCTTGGTTCTGAGTGAGAGTTCAATAGCCTTTGCCCAGGCGGCTTCTCAGACACAGGGTGTGGTTTCCTTAGCTCACTCTCTGCTATTCGGTTGCTTATGGCAACAGGATCCAAATAACTTGGACATGTGTTTGTATAAAAAAACCTGGGAATGGAACCCAAAGTGAGAGTTTGGGGCTGTTCAGTCAGTGGAAGAGCTGCGGTGAGTACCAGGCAACTGCTCATTTACTTTCTCTCATTCTTTCTCTCTAAATTACACTGGATGTCTGCTAGCACAATAACCATGTTTGTGGATAGTTTTAGAAAATAGTCTCAATTCTTGTCTGTTTTCTGTGCAAATGAAATAATTGCTATCTATTTACCCGTATAAATTTCTTTTTCAGGGGGAGAGGAACAAATTAGCATATGTTTAAAGAAGTTGAGAGCTAGTAGAAACTCACATTTGGTACCTTTTTGGGTGGCAAAATTCTATAAGAAATGCCTTGGTAAAGGGAGTCGCAGAGTGCCTTAGCAATGCTTGGGATTGCAGGCGTGTTGTCTAGGGCCACAGCTGGGGAGGAGACCAGGGAGGGAAGAGGGGTTGTTCACATGGAGGGAGTGGAAGGGATTTTTGGAATAATTTTTCCAGGCTCTATTTTAAGATTATAATTTTTAAAACAGCACATATCCCAAATAATGACACTGGCTACACTTTTATGAGCATATTGATCCTCACTTGCTTGAATCAAGGGGGGATTTGATTTGGCTCACAAAGCCACCCATGACTATAACAGATAATTCACGGTTGCCAAACTTGCCTGTACCAATTGACAATGCCATGTACGTAAGTTCTCTCTTGCTATATTGCTCCGGCCTCAAAAGTCGGTAAACTGTCTTGGACAAACCTCTTTAGGATCTATTCAGGAATTTAACACTTTTCTCCTAGATTTCAAGTCAATTTAAACATTTTAAACAAATTAGTAAGGATTGCTTAGGTGCCTGCTGCTGTACAGAATGAGCTGTCAGTTTTTATTCTGATGAATAGAATTTTATAGATAGGAGGAACGGGAAGCCTCCAGAGGATACTACCCTCTCTAAAAAATGAAGGAGGAAGAGCCAGAAGCAGGTGGAGAGGCTTCTTGATGAAAACGTGGTGGGCTCAGAGAAGCTGCTGCCTGCAGGCGGGGCCCCTGCTTTCCTGCGCCCCTTTGAGCCTCTGCCCCACACTCTTACTTTGTGTAAAACAACTGCTTCTCGCCCACCTGCCCTATCACAAGTCTCCACTCCGTCGGGTCACTGCTCAGCAGCACAATAGCACTACCCGGCCGCACCTCCCAGCATCCTGTCCCCTGTCTGGTGACTCGGCCAACGTGGCTCTGATCCCCTTGTCCTCCTCTGTGTCCTTTGTGAATCAGCACAGTAGTATATCCGAACGTGGGCCTCTACCATCTCCCCAGGGAGTCACTGGCCATCAGCCTTCTGGCCCCGAGGGGCACTTTTGTTCCTGGAATCATAGTTGAAGTATCTGTTGTTTTGGTGCCCGGTGGTCAGCTGTGCTGAAGGAGAAGCTGGGTCCTGGTCCCCAGACCCCATGAACTCCAAGGCAGCATTGCGCAGGTGCCTCTGGGTGCTGGGGCATTTCTGGTGGTCATTTGTCCTGTCTGCTTGCCCCCGCAGGTCCCTCCAGCTATAAGGTGGGCACCATGGCGGAGAAGTTTGACTGCCACTACTGCAGGGACCCCTTGCAGGGGAAGAAGTATGTGCAAAAGGATGGCCACCACTGCTGCCTGAAGTGCTTTGACAAGTTCTGTGCCAACACCTGCGTGGAATGCCGCAAGCCCATCGGTGCGGACTCCAAGGTAATGGGCGACCCCACATACCAATGGGCTGGGCTGGGCTTCGGAGTGTCCCTTCCCCACAACCATGGCAGCAGCGTCTGGCTGTGAGGATTTCCCGGCATCACTGTAGCCACCTTGAGGTCTCAAGGAAGCCTCCTCCACTCCCCAGGCCACAGTGGCCTGAGCTGTTTAATGTAGGGCTCAACTGGACGGGTGCCAAGGCCCCTGCCAGCTCTTTTGATTGCATGCTAAACATTTTAAGAATTGTGAGATTTTTATCCTCATCTCAGCGTCCCTCCTATTACTCATAAGAACTGTCACTGTGAGGCTGTCCCAGGTGTAAGGGACTGTGTCATCTCAGTGGTCAGTCTCGGGGAAATCTGCCTTATGGGAGGGCTCCTGCCTCTGCCCCCAGCACCCCTCATGGCGGCCCCCCCCATCTGCTTGGTTTCCAGGAGGTGCACTATAAGAACCGCTTCTGGCACGACACCTGCTTCCGCTGTGCCAAGTGCCTTCACCCCTTGGCCAATGAGACCTTTGTGGCCAAGGACAACAAGATCCTGTGCAACAAGTGCACCACCCGGGAGGACTCCCCCAGGTGCAAGGGGTGCTTCAAGGCCATTGTGGCAGGTACTGCCCCCTTCCCACCCCGGGTTCCCAGGGAGGAGGCCCTAAGGGCAGATGTGATGTGGGCTTGCTTGTCACGGTGGGGCTAACGTTGCTCTGAGCTGCTTTGAGATCTTAGCATATATATGTACACATATACATACACGTATATATGCGTACACATATATGCTCGCACACACGCACACACTCGGAGACTAAAGAACACTGGCGAGAACAGCCTGTGGCAAGAGAATGAAGTGAACAGTATGTAGCGCTTTCTCATTTGGGCGTAGTAAGTGATGAAAGCATGCTTCTTCCTCAGGGTGTCATTGTGGGCCAGTCAGTCCCTGATTTAATGTCTAAGTGCACGCAGGGTATAGAGGTGGGGGCATGGGGGATTCAGGCATCGGATCCTAAAATAATAATGCTGGGGTCCCCGCCCATGACAGAAATCCCGGGTTGGCACAAGCACAATTAGAGCACAGGTAGGTTAGTTGGAAGTGTGAGGCCAGTAACTGCAGGGCCTGCATCCCCTCACCTCTAGGGGTCTGGGGAGGGGAGCTGAGTGGATGCAGCCCCCTGCAGAGCCTGTCAGTGGGGCCATCCAATTGCTTCCTCCTGCAGGAGATCAAAACGTGGAGTACAAGGGGACCGTCTGGCACAAAGACTGCTTCACCTGCAGTAACTGCAAGCAAGTCATCGGGACTGGAAGCTTCTTCCCTAAAGGGGAGGACTTCTACTGCGTGACTTGCCATGAGACCAAGTTTGCCAAGCATTGCGTGAAGTGCAACAAGGTATGCTTTCAAGGGAGTTCGGCATTGACCGCTGTTTCCAGAAGTGTTTGACGGTTTGCAGAGCACTTCCACACACACTATCCCATTCCATCCTCACGACAGTCCTGTGACGTAGGAATTATTATTCCCATTTTACAGATGAGGAGACCATGGATTAGAAAGCAGTGCCGCAGCCAAGTTGGCTGTCGGTACGCATGCGCAGCCCCATGGTGCGGGTGGCCCATACGGCATGCTGAGCCGGGCAGCCCTGGCTCTAGAGGCCTGCCTCTACCACTTAGGGGCTGTGCAACCTCACATAGGGGCTCGCCTTCTTCGAGCCTTGGTGTCTTCATCTGTAAACTGGGGATAATAATGGCCCCTGCCTCCCATGGCTGCTGTGGAGATTAAATGAGATATTGTATACCAAAGCGCCCAGCACGGTGCCTGGCACACAGTAGGCATTCAACAAAATGGTTGTTGAATCTGAATCCGGTGCTACACTCCCTGGTCTAGGCCATCACATCTGGAGGAATCACTTACCAGGATCAGCCCTGGCATGCCGATTGCTTTGTGTGTGTTACCTGCTCTAAGAAGCTGGCTGGGCAGCGTTTCACCGCTGTGGAGGACCAGTATTACTGCGTGGATTGCTACAAGAACTTTGTGGCCAAGAAGTGTGCTGGATGCAAGAACCCCATCACTGGTAGGCTAAAGAGTCCTTGCTAAGTCTGCCAGGCTAGGTTTTGCGCATGGTAACCATCTCTCATTTTCCTGTCGTCGGTTTCATCCACAAAGGCCCCCAGAGAATGCCCTTCTCCCCCCGCTATTGTCATCCTAAAGGTCCCCCAAGAGTTTGGATTCGTCCTGAGGCCAGGTTAGGCTTTGCAATACAGAACACTTCCTGACTACTGCTGACTAACAATGCCGAGAGTTCACAAGCCTGAGACCTGCCGGCCACCACCGGCAGGCACTGCTCCGTTGCAGGAGGATTCTGGGGGGAGGGGCGGGAGGAGGGTAGAAAGAAGGGGCGTGGGGTAGGGTGGAGAGGGGTAGGGGAAGTGGGAGGGGAGGCCGAAGAGTGATAACCTGGGATTGTAACACCCCACAGCTGAAGGCTAGTTCAGAGGTGCCTGTTGGCAGGGTTTTTTTTTTTGTTTTTTGTTTTTTTTGGTTTTCTGTTCATTTGTTTTTGCGATCAGCAAAGCTAATCACTTCATTCCTCATCTCGCGGCCGCGATCCACGTGCCCTGGGCCCTTTCCCTTGCCTCCAATTTTCCCATCTCCCCGGGGAGCCTTGAAATGTACATTTGAGAAGACTTTTGCCATCCTCAGGGAAAAGGACTGTGTCAAGAGTGAGCCACCCAGTCTCTAAAGCTAGGAAGCCCCCAGTGTGCCACGGGAAACGCTTGCCTCTCACCCTGTTTCCCAGCGCCAACCTCCGGGGCAGGCATCCGGGTGGAGAGAGGACTTGTCCCTCGTGGGTGGTGGTTCTTTATAGAAAAAATCGAAGCTTAGCAGCTCCTCGAGGCCCGGTAAGTGCACACCCCACGAACAGCCCAAGTTTGCCTCCTGGTGGCCACTTTGATGCCATGGCCCTGACCTAAATCAAAGAAACTGGTTATGCTGGGAGGTCGGTGCGAGTCACAGGGCAATAGCGCGGTGGCATGGGAACGTGGGGTCTTTACATCAGGGAAGCCCTTGGCTGGGCTCCGGCTTCTTCTCAGGTCCTGGAGAGCCATAGCAGGGTTGCGGCGGCATGGGGGACAATGGCGGCGTGGGGGACTGTGCACGATGGAGTGGAGGAGGGGGTCTGGGAGCCAGGCAGACACTGGCTCTTGTGGTGCTTGTCGGTCTGTGAGTGGGGCAGGTCGTCATTTTATCTCTCTGAATCGTAGCTTCCTTACCTGTATTCATTCAGCTGTTTTTCTTGTTTTCTTTTGTTTTTTTCCCAGGGTTTGGTAAAGGCTCCAGTGTGGTGGCCTATGAAGGACAATCCTGGCACGACTACTGCTTCCACTGCAAAAAATGCTCCGTGAATCTGGCCAACAAGCGCTTTGTTTTCCACGAGGAGCAAGTGTATTGTCCCGACTGTGCCAAAAAGCTGTAAATTGACAGGGGCTCCTGTCCTGTAAAATGGCATTTGAATCTTGTTCTTTGTGTCCTTACTTTCTGCCCTCTACCATCAATAGGGGAAGAGTGGTCTTTCCCCTCTTTAAAGTTCTCCTTCTGTTTTTTCTCCCATTTTACAGTATTACTCAAACAAGGGCACACCATGATCATATTAGCATTTAGCAAAAAGCAACCCTGCAGCAAAGTGAATTTCTGTCCAGCTGCAATTAAAAAAAAAAAACAAAAAACAAAAAAAACAAACAAAAAAAAACTTAGGTAGATTGACTCTTCTGCATGTTTCTCATAGAGCAGAAAAGTGCTAATCATTTAGCCACTTAGTGATATAAGCAAGAAGCATATGAGATAAAGCGCCCACTGAGCTGCCTCTCACGCCTCAGCTGGGACCCACCGTGTAGACACGTGACATGCCAGAGTCGGAGCGGCTGCTCCGACTCACTGCTCACCCTATTCTGTGAGCAGGAAAAGAACTTACTGACATGCATGGTTTAACTTCCTCATCAGAACTCTGCCCTTCCTTCTGTTCTTTTGTGCTTTCAAATGACTAACATGAATTTCCAGAAAATTAACATTTGAACTTAGCTGTAATTCTAAACTGACCTATCCCCGTACTAACGTTTGGTTTCCCCGTGTGGCATGGTTCTGAGCGTTCCTACTTTAAAGCATGGAACATGCAGGTGATGTGGGAAGTGTAGGCAGACCTGAGAAAACGAGCCTGTTTCAGAGCAACATCGTCACCACAGATACTCTGGAAGCTTAACAAAACTAACCCTGCTGTCCTTTTTATTGCTTTTAATTAATTTTTTTTGTTTTTAATTGATAGTAAAATAGTTTATGGGTTTGGAAACTTTGCATGAAAATATTTTAGCCCCCCTCAGATGTTCCTGCAGTGTTGAAATTCATCCTACAGAAGTAACCGCCAAACTCTAGAGAGGGAGTTGAGCAGGCGCCAGGGCTGTCATCAACATGGATATGACATTTCTCAAAAGTGATGAGTTGAATCCCTTGTAACGTAGTAGTTGTCTGCTCTGTGTTCCTGTGTTAATGAGGACTGTAAAGTCCCTTCTCTTGTGATTCCTAGGACTTATCCTCAAGAGGAAATCTGAATTTCTATCTACCACTTTACCTGAAATGCAGGATCCCCTACTTAACTGTATTCTACATTATTATATGACATAGTATAATGAGACTATCAAAAGTAAACATGTAATGACAATACATACTAACATTCTTGTAGGAGTGGTTAGAGAAGCGATGCCTCATTTCTACATTCTGTCATTAGCTATTATCCTCTAACGTTTCAGTGTATCCTTACAGAAATAAAGCAGCATATGAATAACCTGCCTCCTGTCTTTTCATTCTGCTGGGTGGAATCACTCTAAGGTGATACTCCTGACGCAGAAACCCAAATGACTTCTTTTCCTTCCAGAATATACTCAGTTCAGTGCAGTTGTACAGAACATAGGTATTATAAACAAACCTGTAAATACCACATTTGATTGAGTTAAAAAAAAAAAAAAAGAAAGAAAGAAACCACTCTGACCTGAAATGGTATTTCCCAGATTTTTACATTCCTGAAAAATGATGACTTGGTTTCATTTGGCCAGGGGATTGGGGAGGGAATCCCTGACTCCCCCAATGAATCATGGTGCTGAGAAACCATCTCGGTCCCTGTCTTTTGGGTGCTTCCTTGCTGTGCCTTTCCCTTTGTGCTCTCTGGAGCCCAGGGTCCAGGTTGAACGTGACCACCTCAACCACGGCTCCCTCCACTTGACAGCCGAATGAGATCCTTGCTGCTTCTTGTGGGCATGGCTCACTGAGGAGGCTGCCCCTTTGGGCCCATGCACTTCAGTTAGAGGGAACACGCAGGGATGCTCTGGGCAGAGGCAGGGGTTGGCCTGGCATTGAGGCTCCGCAGTTGCCGCTAGCCTAGTACCACACAGTGCTCAAACCATCTTTCATTGAGCTTCACTTTGAGCACTTTCATGCTCAAAGTGTCTTTCATTCACCTCTGAGGCTTGTGTTCTTGGGTCATCTAACCTGCGCCAACCCATGTGACCCTTACAGCACAGCACAGGAGGCCCCATGCGACAGGTGTCTGCTGAACTCTCCTCCCAGTGGAAGGGCCTTCAGACCATAATGGCCCCTTGTCAAACTCCAGGCAGAACTGGGTGGGAGGAGAGGGTGTTAGTCTTAACTGGGCCCCATGCTGAGGGTAATAAAAGCAAAGGGCAGACGCCCTTTGGTGCTAACATTTGCCTTCTGAGAAGGGCACTGAATCTGTCAGCAAGAAACCATGAGCACCTTCAGGAATGTGGCACATCCCCTTGTGTGTGTGTGTGTTTCCTTACAGAAGTTAGCTGTGAAAACCTTGAAACCAATGAAGTCTATCTAGTCATCTGGGGCCCCAGGAAAATGAGGCTGCGTTGGGGGATGGGGAGAGGCTGCCCCCTCTGGCTGAGTTCCTGAGGCTACAGCAAGGAAAGGAGCCCCGTGGGGAGAGGGGAGAGGAGACAGACCTGGGATGGAGAGGGGGGCCTCACTGCCTTCACTAAGGGCTTTGGCCCCAGCTTACGCTCTGGATCCTACCCACGTGCTGTTTCCCATTCCAAAGTCTTTCTCACTGTGCCAGTTCCTTGCCCTGCAGTCCTTAGTGCACCCTCCTTCTCAGCCCCTTCCCACCATGATGCCCCTCCCCATCTGCCCTAGATTCTATTCTCTGCACTGCATTCCTTTCCCTTACTCCTGCTATCCCTTTGCCCTTGTAGCCTGCTTGGCCAGCAAAACCTGAGTAGATGGTTTGAGCACTGTGGAGGAAAAACCATGCTGGTCTAAAATTCCCAGTCCCACCACTCTGCCACTTGGCCCAAAGTCCCAAGACCGCCTCCACCACCCTCACCCGGGAGACTGAGGCCTATCCGGAGTCTGCTGCTAGCTGTTGCTTGCTTCGCGATGCCTGCCCTTCACACTTCTGCATCTTGTGAAGCACCTACACATATCAGAGCTAACCCTCACGGCCGACACACACCATTGCTCCCATTTCCCAGATGAGAAAACAGGTTAAGAAGCTTGCCCAAAGTCCCACAGCTAATAAGTGACAAGCCACACCCTGGGCACACCTCTAGCATATCACTTATGACACTAAATTGTCATACGAATGCACACATCACAATAAAACCAGCATGCACGGTGCTCAGTACTTATAAGACACTTTGTTGAATATGTGATTCTAAGAGCGACATCCATAAGGCTCAGGAGAAATGAGGGTAAATTTCCACTTAACAATTTGTCAGCAGAGAAACATTTTCTCCCTCATAATGAATGGGATCAGAATGTCAAGAACCTCTCTGCTTGTGGTTAATCAGTGGGCTCTGGCACCAGGCTACCAGTGTTCAAATCCCGGCTTCTCAGCCACTTTCTGGTCATAAGACCTTGGGCAAGTTACTTAACCTCTCTGAGCTTGATCCTTCATCTGTGAGACCTAAAATTTCTACTTTGCAGAATCCCATGCGGGGGATATAATACAAGTGCTTAGTGAGGGGACTGGCACCCAGTAAAAGCCCTCAATGCTAGCAAAGATTTTGTCCCCAGCACCGAAGACACTGCTCTGGTGTCTGTGACCCACCCTGCAAGCCTCAAGACACTATGTCCACTCCCAAAGCAGTGTGGGTTGTTGGCTGGAGGGACAAACTTGGGTTTGAACATCAGCTCTGCCTCTTTCCAGTTGTGTGACCTGGAACAAATGCTGCTCTCCACAAATCTCCGTGTCCTCACAGGCATAAATGAATACCCACACCTCATAGGGTTGTTGTGAGCATTGAAAATGCCTGGCGGGGCACGGTGGCTCATGCCTGTAATCCCAACACCTTGGGAGGCCGAGGCAGTAAGATCGCTTGAAGTCAGGAGTTTGAGACCAGCCTGGCCAATATGGTGAAACCATGTCTCTACTAAAAATACAAAAATTAGTCAAGTGTGCTGGTGCATGCCTGTAATCACAGCTACTCCGGAGGCTGAGGTAGGAGAATTGCGCTCCAGCCTGGGTGACAGAGCAAGACTATCTCAAAAAATAAATAAAATAAAACAAAATAAAATAAAATGCCTATCAAGTACCTGGCGTATTGCACATGTAAATCTAACTACAACGATTACAACGCAATTGGGGAAATTCAAATTATTTGGGTGCCTAAAACCCATCTGGAAACACTGTAATTGGACTGGTTACAGCCTCTAGGCAAGGAGGCTGTTTTGGAGCCTGTTTCAACCAACCAGGCCAGCCAGGCACTGACAGGGGTGGGGTCACTGAAAATGATAGGGAATTGCCCCCTGGCATGATAAAATGTCATGCACAGCCTGCTTCTATGCCCTGGCTCCTTGGCCCTAGCTGCTATTAGAGGTATTCGAGAACAGTGGAGTCTCAGAACTGAAAAGGTTGCAGAGATTGTAGCAGAGCCCCCTCATTTGACAGATAAGGAACAGGGATCAGAGAGGAGCAACAATGTGCACAAAGTCACGTGGGAGCTAGCAGCCCTCTCGGCTGGGTTCAGGTCTTCAGGGGTCTGTCTGGCACTCTTTACGGTATTTCACACTGCATTCTTGTGCTTTTTAGGGATTGGAGCTGTTAAAAGCTTCATTCCACAGGCAGTGTCTACAATGACACAGGAGCAGAAAATGCGCTGATGTGCAGAATCTGCTGCTAGAGGCCAGGGGTCTGTCCCTCCAGGGAGAGGACACCAGGAAGGGAAATGTGAGGCAGCAAAGCGTCAGGGGAAGGCTAGGTCAATGTCCATCACCATGGCCTTGTAAACAGGAACATCCTGGTAGACAGTTTAAATGGATGGATCAACAGAACCTGGCGCCACACTTGGCAGTAAAGAGTTTCCAGCTCAGATGAGACACATGGAGGTGATATATTTGACAGGAATGGGATATGTCTAGTTTGTACTGATTCAAAAGTATACAGAATGCTCTAGCATGTTCAGTGGGGAATGGCTACCACCATTCTCATAAGCACCAGACCCCAAAGATGGGATAAACCAGGACCTTGCCCCATCAAAATAAATAAATAAATAAATAAATAAATAAATATATAAATAAATAAAACCTAGTAAAGGAGGGGTCCCTACCCCTTGGGCCACAGCCTGGTGCTGGTCTGTGGCCTGTTAGGAACTGGGTCACAGAGCAGAAGGTGAATGGCAGGCAAGCAAAGCTTCATCTGTATAGTGGCTCCCCATCACCTGCATTGCCGTCCGAGCTCTACCTCCTGTCAGAGCAGTGGTGGCATTAGATTCTCAGAGGACTGCTCACCCTATTGTGAACCACGCATGTGAGGAATCTAGGCTATGCACTCCTTATGAGAATCTAATGCCTGATGATCTGACACTGTCTACCATCAGATGGGACCGTCTAGTTACAGGAAAACAAGCTCAGGGCTCTCACTGATTCTACAATATGGTGAGTTGTATAATTACTTCATTATATATTACAATGTAATAATAATAGAAATAAAATACACAGTAAGTGTAATGCACTTGAATCATCCTAAAACCACCACACCGCACCCACCAAAGGTGCATGGAAAAATTGTCTTCCACAAAACCAGTCCCTGGTGTCAAAAAGGTTGGGGACTGCTGGAATAAAGCATGATTGAAGGTTGGAAACTAAACACTCACAGGCAGATCAGAACATTTGTTTTGCCACTCACAGTAACGGTGATGTCATTGAGTATGTAAAAGAGCACAATTAACTGCCTGAGCTTGCAGGCCCAGACTTTTTTAAAGCAAGAGGGTTTTCCTCATCCAAGGTGAGCACCAAATTTGAGAATTAAAGCGGTGAGGGGAGGAGGGAAAGGGGAGTGATTGCTTAAAGGGCACAGATTTTCTTTTCAGGGTGATGAAATGCCCAAAACTACATAGTGGGTATAGCTGCACAGCCTTGTGAATATGCACTTTAAAATGGTTAAAATGGTGACTTTTAGGTTATGATTTTTATTATGATAGAAAAAAGCAAGGTCAGCACCATAAAACAGGGCAAGAAAGAAACAGCAAAACATATATTTTTTAAAGAAAATCAAAAGATACTGTAGTAATAAGCCTCAACTTACACAACAGAACCATAACAGGGAAGAGTAACAAGCACTGAAATAGTTGCAGGAAGACAACCAGAGCTTGGAAATGCACATCTAGGCTGCGTGTGGTGGCTCATTCCTGTAATCACAGCACTTTTGGAGGTTGGGGTAGGAAGATCACTTAGGGCCAGTCGTTCAAGACCAGCCTGGGAAACATAAAAACAACAACAACAAAAAGCCAGACATGGTGCCATGCCTGTGGTCCCAGCTACTCAGGAGGCTGAGGCTGGAGGACTGCATGAACATCAGAGTTTGAGGCTGCAGTGAGCTATGATCATGCCACTGCACTCCAATGTGGGCCACAGAGTGAGATCTTGTTTCTAAAACAAACAAACAACCTCACATCTTTCTATTCCAGAAGTGGAACTCTGCCAAATCACCAACTGGATGAAGAGGGAGATCAGAAGATTTCATCCTTGTTCATTGAATTTGCTGGCTGCCTCTGTTCACAGCTTGGCCAACGATTGGTGTCACCTTTATACCACCACCAGTACATTTTATTTTTTTAGTATTATAATGAAAAAAACTCCTGTTTTATCTGTAAAGTTTACTTCATATAGCACACATTTATATGGAACTGTAACAGAGTGCTTCAACACGACATTTGTGCAGAAAAATAACAGAAACTCATTTGTTAGGATGATTGTCTCTGCTTTATATACAAAAGAGGTAGTATATAAAAATAGTGTTTAAACCAAAGGTAACCCGCTCTATTCTATATCAAAGGCACAGTACTCTAAGTGGCAAAGAACCAGGGAATCTGAAAGAATTACTTCCTTTTACTAATCCAAGACTGGCGGCCAAAAGGAACACTGACCTGGTTTGGACTATTTGCGATTCAACACTGAAAATTCATTAGCAATATCATCTGCATTTGAGTTTTATGGAAACATATATGGTGTGTGCATGCATACATATATGTACATCTGTGTGCATTTCTGTGTGCCCATCACGGGAACTCACTGACAGCCAGTGGCTAGGGAAAGGCAAGCAAATTTTGATTACATCTCAAGCCTGAGTGTATACTCAAGGACAGAACTGGAGAGTACAGGCAGAAAAATACTTGAAACATTTATAGGAATTAAACATTACCCAAGAGATAACAGCCATGTACTCCTTTATGTACACAATAAAAAGAATATATATTTCTGTAGATAAACCCCAATGTGTCCTTCAAAAGGAAACACTGACAAAGCATGAAACGTGCTGACTGTTCCAAGATGGAGTTTTACAGGACTCCCAACATTTGAAGCTATTAGTACCTGTATACTCACTGGCACAGATGGGTAGAGGTAAAAATATACATATATCATGGTAAAATACAATTATGGTTTTCGTATATTAGAAACAATGTGACACAGCTCTTGTGAGCAATCCTGCGGCCCTTGCATAATCTATTATGTTCTCTACAAGATCAACTGTGAGTATTGAGCTCTCAAAATTGTCACTGGTATACAGAAAAAGCATTACTTGGCCAGGTGTGGTGGCTCACACCTATAATCCCAGCACTTCCAGAGGCGGGTGGATCACTGGAGGCCAGGAGTGCAAGACCAGCCTAGCCAACATGGTGAAACCCCATCTCTACTCAAAATACAAAAAATTAGCCAGGCGTGGTGGTGCATGTCTGTAATCCCAGCCACTCAGGAGGCTGAGACAGGAGAATTGCTTGAGACCAGGAGGTGGAGGTTGCAGTGAGCTGAGATCGCGCCACCGTACTGCAGCCTGGGTGACAGGGTGAGACTCTCAATTAAAAAAAAGAAAAAGCATTACTTTAAGATTTCAAATATATACTGAAAGAGAATTAGTTCTGCAATCAGATTCTTCTAGAAACTCTACAGTTACAGTTTCAGGAAAGTAACCTTGATACACACTCACTCCAGCAAACACGTTGATAGGAAAACACAAGAAAGAGAGACAATGGTGATTTTCCAAACAAAACAGAAACAACACTTTACTCAGAACTCTTGCTTAGAAACAAGAGAAGATGATTTGTGCATCTTCTGAGACATACATCAAGGTGACCTTCTGAAGCTTCCTTAATTTTTTGATGTCACATCCTTTGCCAGGTTCAAGTCAGAAGCAAAAAATTTGAGGACCGACGGACCAGGAGTTGAGTTATCTAAGTGGACGATGTATTTACCTTCCAGGCTGAGAAAAGTTTACATAACTGACCAGAGGGAAAAATAAAAGAAAGATGAGTAGAGAAGATACTAGTCTCACAGCAACTTGTCCCTGGCCTCGCTTCATGCTCCTGGACTTGCTGACATACTGGTGATCCTATGAATGTCCTCCCCTTCCCCAGCTCCCGACCAAGCCTAAGGTGTTTCTCAATTTCAAAGAGAGCTTCTCAAGGAAAGAAAAACAAGGGGCTTCCAGTTTTGGAAACATAGGTTGAGGCTATTCCAAAGACCTCCCTAATATTCTGCGCTAAGCAAATGTTTGCGTGCTTGCCAAGCAACCGGCAGACCAGGAGCTAAGAGGAGTCTGAGATGTAAGTTTGAAGTTTTTTTTTGTTTTGTTTTTTTTTTTTTGAGAAAGAGTCTTGTACTGTCGCCCAGGCTGGAGTGCAGTAGTGTGATCTCGGCTCACTGCAACCTCCGCCTCCCAGGTTTAAGTGATTCTCCTGCCTCAGTCTCCCAAGTAGCTGGGCTTACAGGCATGCACTACCACACACAGCTAATTTTTGTATTTTTAGTAGAGCTGGGGGTTTCACCATGTTGGCCAGGCTGGTCTCAAACTGCTGACCTCAAGTGATCTGCCCACCTCGGCCTCCCAAAGTGCTGAGATTATAGGTGCGAGTCACCACACCTGGCCAGAACTTATTTTTTTTATCTGGCAGAAAATGTGGGACATAAAAATTAGAATCAAGTCATCTACTCTCTACTCTCTCAAAACCAGCTTAATGGAAGACTCTCACATCATTCCTGCAGACCCGTAACTATCTTCTCTTCCAAAGCTATGTGGTGCAAAGACTGCTCTGGAACAGCTAAAAGCGGGGGAGGGGGTTTCGGGGTCAATTGCCTTTCAAGAAAAAGGTAGATGAGATGAGGCATTACCTGAATAGAATAAACAGGTTTGCTGCTTCTCTTATCGTCTAAAGGTGTCTGGAAACTTTGGCAACATGTCATGGAATCCAGATTTTGTTTGTGGCTGTCAGGAGAAAAATGTGACAAAGACAGTCTGGTGTGACTTACAATGTTGGTAATCTTATCACAGATATGCTGCTGCTCATAATTCATACTAACAGAGGATCTGTTGGTGGTATTGGTTTCATCTGCGTTTCTGGTTTTTGTTGTACGACTGGTCATTCTTTTAGTAGATGGTCTGGAAAGAGACAGTTTGGTTAGAATCCCAATTATTGCCACACCAAGGCTCTGTCCTAAAAGAAGCTCTGTCCTTTGATTAACTTCTAAGAAATGCCTTGGAATTAAAAAATATTTTCCAAATCATAAACAGGATGGCTAAAAGGAACCCTAGAGATCACAGACACACTGATTTTCAAACTGTATTCCAGAAAGCCCTTGGTCCCACAGAAGCACCAGGAGTAGGAGCAGCTAAGCATGTGGGACTCCAGAAACCCTGTCCCTCCCTTAGATTGGTCAAGGATGTGGCCAATGACATGTAGTGACAGAACTGGTGCAGGTTCTCTAGCTCTAGTGTTCCTTCCACATCACCGCCCCTCTCAGCAGACTCCTGTTCCTGTGGGCCTTGCAGGTGAATAGCGTTCCTTTCCATGAATTGGTTCCTGCTTTCCTGACCTAACCTCGGACCTTGTTTCCTTACACTGAAAATGAGCATATTATGGCTGGGTGCAGTGGCTCATGCCTGTAATCCCAGCACTTTGGGAGGCCACGGTGGGCAGATCACTTGAGCCCAGGTGTTCAAGACCAGCCTGGGCAACATGGTGAAACCTCTTCTCTTAAAAAATATAAAAAATAAAAATAAATAAAATGATATTACTGTCACACTCAGAGTTGTGATGATAATTGAAACGGGTAATATAAAATGCCTGGTAGATAGCAATCATTCAATAAGTGTCTTACTGCCCGACTTTATGAGATAACATTAATCACTGTGAACAAAAGTAGTTTGGAGCAAGATGTATCTGGAATTGAATTTGGGCTCAGCCCTTTAAATAGCAGGATATTGGGCAAATGAAGCCCCTAGCCTCTCTGCACCTCAGTCTCCTTGTCTTTATAAACGGGGATGATGATCCTTACCTAGCAAGACTGTTGTGGGGATGAGTTTATTTCTGTTAAGTCAAATACATGACATCATGTTTGGTACAAACATGAGCTCAAGAGATAATATTATTTAGCATTCTAAGAATGTCAATCATAATCCTGCCAAGTTTATTTAGATAAGCTGGCTAAGTGACTCACCTTGAAATGAATGACTGTGTTGAAGTGTCTTTCGCGCTTTTTGGTCTGTAGGTTTTTAAATCACTATTACAATATGCCTTTGGCTCTTTATAGACCTGGCTGTCACTGTCTCGTAGAAATACCAGCTTGGGCGGCATCTTCTTTATATTTTTAATTGACATTTTCAATTTTGAAGATGGATCTTTGCCTAGGGGGAAAAAAACACAATTAAATATGGAATTTCCATAATGAATTCAAGAAAAAGTGAAGGCTGTGATCCTGATGGCATGGGGAGGAGGTGACACCTGTCTGAAGGCAGGAAGAGTCAAGTAGTGGTAACCCTGGGAGGCAGGCCCAGCAGTCCACAGCTGTTTTACTTTCCCAAGCCATGTCCCGGGCCACTGCTGAGCACACACACTCACCCTGCCCTTGAGGCACCAAGAGGCTACCTTTAAGGAACTTGTCCTTTTTACTTTGCTAGGAAAGAATAACAGGCCAAGAGAAGACTGCTCGAGATTCTTGCCCCTCCCCTGATCACTCACCTGGCCAATTCTGTTTGTGCATTTCGTCTTACCTCTAATGTTACCTCCTACGTTTGGCTTTCCTCAATGCCCTAAGGCAGACTGAGAGGCTCCTACTGCTATGTTCTCATTGTATTTTCACCAAACTTCCTTTAACCCCATCATCTTGTGGCAGTATTATGGTTTGCTCATATGTTTGTCTTCCCACTGGCTATGGCTCCTTCGAGCTGAGGCCATGTCTTTCCACTTCGCTTCATCCCCAGCGCCTAGTAGAGGACCTGACTCACCTGTTTAATATCCACTGACAGGAAAAATATGGACAAATAGTGTTTTCTCAAATGCCAATTACTGCTCCTACAAAGTCGTTCCTACTTGTAAGGGAGTCACTGATACATTTGAGAGGGCATTCATATTACGACATGGTTTCAATTTTTCTTAATGAAGTGGAAAGTGGAATTCCACGGTCATTCATGGATGCCTTGAGGAGGTGAGCTATGAAATGCTGGCAATCCCCACATTCAAGTGAGAAAGAGATGATGTCTACAGTCTATTAGCATAGTCTTTAAAATAATAGCAGCAGCAGCAGCTGATACTTATTGAGTTTATGTGTCAGACACTGTTCTTAGCATTACATAGATTTATCTCATTGAAATCTCATGTCCACTCTAGCAAAAGGACATTAGTTTCCCCCGTTTTCAGATGGGAAAACTCAGCACAGAAAGGTTAAGTGACCTGCCCAAAGCCACACAGCTCAAAAGCAGAGGAACACCTGGATATGAATCTAGGCAGTCTAGCTCCTAAATGGGGACTAACCTGATGGAAACATTTCATTCAATGAGTCTGTGTCACTTTCTTCACTGGTAGACTTGGCCTCCTCATATGTGTCATGGCAGGGTGTTGTGACCTATGATTAAAAAAGGAAATCTTGATTATGCCTAATATTCATCATCCTGGTTTAGAATTTCAACGAAGTCAGATTTCAAAGCTGGATTGATGGCTAACTTGTCATTTCAATGAAAAGGTAAAAAAAAATCTAACCTCTTTTAACCAGCCCCAAGAATCTACAAAGGATAGTGACAGGTACCCATAGCTGTATCTTTTAGCTAGGAAAAGACACTCAAGGATCAAAGATTTCCCTGGGCAGGAGCCAAGGGACTAGAGCTTTGGGTTGGCATTTGTTCTATGCCTGCTCAGAACCTTAACTAAGGTGGGATGGGACTAGTCAGTGAATAGCTAAAAAGTTTTGACTCATTTTTTTTTTTTTTTTTTTTTTTTTTTGGTGAGGGGGGACAAAGTCTCATTCTGTTGAAGAGGACAGAGTGCAGTGGCATGAGCATAGCTCACTGCAGCCTCAAACTCCAGGGCTAACATAATCTTCCTGTCCCAGCCTCCCAAGTAGTTGGGACTACAAGCATGTGCCACCATACCTGGCTAATTTTAAAATTTTTTTACAGAGACGAAGTCTCACTATGTTGTCCAGGCTGGCCTTAAGCTCCTGGGCTCAAGAGATCCACCCACCTTGGCCTCCCAAATTGCTGAGATTATAGGCGTGAGTCCCTGCGCCCAGCCTTTGGTTGCTGCTTGAGGTAAAACTCCCAATGAGTTGAACGAACTTTGACATGACGACTCCCAGCATTTTTTGGAAATGATGTTTCTACTTGTAAATTCTCATTTTATTTAATATAAATGAGCATAACTGGGTAATCACAAACAGACAAAACACCAGTCTTACAGCACAGAATGTAAAAAGCACAGAAGCTGGAGGAAAAAGGCCTTGAATACATGTGCCCCATCAAAAGACATGACGTTGGGGTAAGCAAATAATTATGAAACAGACCACAAAATCACTCACCATAAGGGAAAAAATGATAAATTTGAGCTTGTTAAAAAGAACTTCTGTCTGGTTCATCAACAGACATTAGGGGAGTGTGAGGCAAACTATGGCATGAAAAAAGAAATCTGCAAATCCAAAGGGCTCCTAACTGTTGGTAAAAATGTCTACAACTCAATCGGAGAAAGGCAGGTAACAAAACAGCAAAATAGGCAAATGACTTGAAAAGGTACTTCACCAAAGAGAATCTCCAACAGGCCCATAGCATTTATGAATGACTAATGACTGACTTCATTAGTCATCACATTAGTCATCAGAAAATACTGGTAAATTCAACAACATTAAAATCAGAAGGCAGGGCACTCAAGCCTGTAATCCCAGCACTTTGGGAGGCTGAGGCGAGTGGATCACTTTGAGTCCAGGAGTTCAAGACCAGCCTGGGCAACATGGTAAAACCCCATTTCTACAAAAAAATTACAAAATAAAAAATTAGCTGGGTGTGGTGGTATGCACCTGTGGTCCCAGCTACTTGGAAGGCTGAGGTGGGAGGATCGCTTGAACTTGGGAGGTGGAGGTTGCAGTGAGTCGAGATTGTATCACTGTGCTCCTGTCTGGGTGACAGAGCAAGACTCTATCTCAAAAAAAAAGGAAAGAAAAAATCAGAAGCTTCTATCCAGCAGAGGTCAACATTAAGAAAGATAAGCTGGCCGAGTGTGGTGGCGCATGCCTGTAATTCCAGCACTTTGGGAGGCTGAGGCGGGTGGATCACCTGAGGTCAGGAGTTTGAAACCAGTCTGGCCAACACAGTGAAACTCTATCTCTACTAATAATACAAAAATAGCTGGGCATGGTGGCACACACCTGTAATCCCAGCTACTGGGGAGGCTGAGGCAGGATAATTGCTTGAACCCAGGAGGCGGAGGCTGCAGTGAGCTGAGATTGTGCCACTGCACTCCAGCCTAGGGGACAGAGCAGGACTCTGTCTCAAAAAAAAAAAAAAAAAGAGAAATGATCAGCCTTTGAGGTGATGGATGTGCTAATTAACCTGATTTGATCATTATACATTGCAGCCAAAAAAAAAAAAAAAAAAAGAAAAGAAAGAAAAGATAAGCTGTAAACTGGGAGAAGACATCTGCAACACAACATAACCAAAAAACAAGCAGTATCTCAAACATTTAAAGAACTACAAATGAGACAAATCAAGCCAAAAGTTTTGGGCAAAAGATCAAAACAAGCATTTCACACAAAAGAAAACAAGAGAGCTAACTAAAGATATGAAAACATGGTCAACCTTGTTAGTTATCAGGGAAATGGAAATGTAATACTTTATTTCATTAGCACCAGACTGGCAAAAATGAAAAGCTCAGCAATAATGTGAAACAACAGGCATTCTTATACACTGCTGGTATTAGTATGGAGACTACCTTTGAGGCATTCACATCTGTTTTTCTCGTCCGCTTCATAACTTCTATTCTCTGTTTAAAGGAAAATAAAAATTCAAACATAAAAACAGATAAGAAACCAAACACTTGTCCTAAAGGAATTGATTATTCCCATTTCGCAGAGGTAGACAATGGCAGTGATTGCTCCAAAACCACAAATATTACCAACAGAAGGCTTGTGGTGGCAGTGAAGTTCCCTATCCCAATCCCAGTTTCAGCTGTACAATGCCTGGAATAATGACCTCTGGATTTGTTATAACACAAATATCCAAATGACAACATCTCACTCCTAATTTTGCATATGCAGGAATTCATTACTTAGACTAAGCATATTACAAACCAATTAGAGCTTTTAACATAATTTTAGTCTTAACATAATTATAGTCTTTAGTCTTCAGTTGATTCCTGAAGCCAATGTTAAAGAAAATAATACACCTCAATGATGCCACACTGTTAGAGACTGTGTTAATGAAGAGAGAAGACAGGAGGTAGAAGAGTAATATATTCTAGGGAATGACAGGAATTCTCTCTCCTGTACATACTTCTTTCCCTGCAGTGAGGAGACTTGCAGCTCCCTGGCCCCCTTGAGGTGACCAATCTACTACCAGAGAAGCATTGCAGCACCTGAGTCTGGACCACAACCGCCAGATGAGCTCACATGTGGTCCTACCCTACAAATAGCCTGTGCCTTGGCCTCAGAGAGGCCCGCAGTTTCTGCTTCTTCCCATGTAGTTGCTGCAATTTCCAGCAAGTTTGGAAGAAATTAACTTACACCAACTCCTACCATGACTGGAGTCATTCTGCTCAGAGGAGTTTTGTTACCAGAGGTTTGATATAGTGAGGCATCACTATAATGGCCACCAAGGGTCCATGAGGGGGAGGCATGATCAGTAAGAGGAGAGCCTTCTATGTAGGAGAGGTCAGATCCTTGGATAAGGAAGAGAACGGGAAACCACCAGGGGCTAGCATACACCAGATTTGTGATTTTTAAAAATGTGCTGATATCAGGTGCCCAATATTGTTTTAAACACAAAATCAAGTCCCCCCAAACAGAGAGTGAGTACCTTTTTCTTTCCTCGGCGTCCTTTTAAATTTTGTGACATAATTCTGTCGTATTCTTTCTTGTGTTTGTCGGCTTCCCCTTGAGCTTCTATTTTGGTGTCCCCTTCCTAGGAAATTTATATACAAGTATCATTTTATCTCAAGATACCTGAGTGACATCAGAGAACTCTAGTTTAAAAACTTCAACAGTAAAATGTTATCCAGCATAAGAAAAGAATGTAACCTTTTGGATGAAGGTTCCTATATATAAGATATTTGTGGTTTGTCAGTTTTTAAAGCACTAGTTAGAATGCACAAAGCTAGGCTAAATGTTATCTTGAGGATTCAGGACCCCAGGGTTACCATTAGGAACACCATACCACCCTATTTCAAAATATGTAAATAACTATGGAGCTGTCCATTAACACAGTAACAGAGGCCAACAGGCTGACATTTCTCAAAAGCACTGAGAGGATTATTGAAGGCACCTTCCTAAAAAATGCAGGCATAAACAATCATATATAAAACATGACCAATGCTGGTGAATGACACACTAAAAACTGGGAATATGAATTGGGCTATGATAATAATTCAAACTGAGCATAGTCTGAGCTCAGTTTGGGCCTTTATTTACCCAATGATTTGACTTTAGATAGATGAGACATTCTTATTGGTTAATGATTTTAAACTTGTGGAAGTATTTATGATTTATCTTATCTGTCACAGGGACATTGTAAGGTCCAGCTGGTGGAGTTGTATGTGGTACCACAGAATGCAAGATGGGGGAAACCAGTGTAGGATGTTGAATCTGTTTAAGCAATTTGGGTTTCAAATTAAGAACCACTAATTCACAATTTCCTGTTTTCTGCTAATTTCAGTAGGAAAACATTCTGTGGTTTTCTGAGAGTGGCTAACAATGACCTGCAGTGGTACTGGGTAATAGAGACTGTAACATGAAAATGCAGCCAGAGGCCAGGTGCAGTGGCTCATGCCTGTAATCCCAGCACTTTGGGAAGCCGAAGCAGGCAGATCACCTGAGGTCAGGAGTTCAAGACCAGCTGGATCAACATGGTGAAACCCTGTCTCTACAAAAAACACAAAAATGAGCCGAGCGTGGTGGCAGATGCCTGTAATCCCAGCTACTCAGGAGGCTGAGGCAGGAGAATCACTTGAACCCAGAAGGTGGAGATTGCAGTGAGCCAAGATCATGCCATTGCACTCCAGCCTGGGTGACAAGAGTGAAACTCTTGTCTCAAAAACAAAACAAAACAAAACAAAAAAACAGCCAGAGAATCTGCTCATGTCTTCTTTGTTAGATACAGAGATTTTTGCTCTGGGTTCCGACTGATACAATCTGGTTCTCATCTCCTGATAAAGTGTCAAGCCAGCAAACCTGAAGTGGTGCTTCCTGGTCTTCCTGATCCGGCCATCCCTTCTTCTCTTCAGTCTCCTTTTGTTGTTGCCCATCTTCGGGTTTCAATAACTCTTCTGCTTCCAATAACTCAGCTTCTTTCTTTTCCACGTCTGTTGATTTCTTGATGACCCTGAGAGTATTTAAATAATTCTTAGTATTTGTCTTGATTGCTACCATACTCGGCTTGCAGTCCTATGTGAGTTTTTATAGTGAAACTTCCTGTGTATAGTAATACAATTTATATTTACACCATAGTCACTACATCTTCTGTGTTGTTACTATATAAGAATCACACAGTTCCACGCTTTTTTAAAAGAGAAAAACCAGTCCTCGGGAGCAGAAAAATATTTCAATCAAGTAATAGATTACTTTGCTTGTTAAAAAAAACTTAACTGTCTTTGAGATGTGACATCCCCTAAAAGGCCTTATTTACACATGCTCACACCCAATCTCTCATGGGGATTGTAGAGATAACTTAGAGGAGAGTCTGGTGGTTCCCTAGTATTCAGCATTTTCAAAGGCTACATTAGCTCTATTTATATGAAGTAAGTAATAATACTCTTCAAGTTATAGTTTTTTTCCTATTCATAATACTTCTTTTTCCCAAGCCCATATAAGCATATGGAAAAGATGTGATTATTTCAAATAACACTAAATACTTAAAAGCAAAGTCAGTACTGTTGTTATTCCCTGCGGTCAGTGGACAGAGGTTTACATTATAAGGCCTCACATAAAATGGACCTCAAGATGGAGGAGCAAGAAACCTTTGCTAAAATTTGAAAGCACACGACTGTACATGAGATTTGCTGCCCACAAAGGAAATCCTAGCAATGACTCACCAGTCTGATGAGATACAGGTGTCACAAAGATCCCTGGAAAACACCCAAAATAAAACATGAGTAAGCATAATTTTCAGGTTTAAAAATCCTGAGGTTAACAGTCCTTTAAAAAAAAAAAGGGCTGACACTAGTGAACACAAAGAAAAATATTCTTATATACCATTCTGCTGCTGAGAGATCAAATCCTGAATGTGAGTTTGATCTCTGTGCATCCTCCTACCACACCTTAATGGCACGTGATGCATGGAGGCCAAAACGGACTGTGCCATTTATCCACACACAAGGGTCCTTAGCCATTTACAAAGGCTTGAAATGCTTCATATACAAGCAATGAGGCACTTCTGATCCTCACTGAAGAGTCAGTTGCTCTTTGAGAATTTATAACTTGAGGGTAAAATTTTGATTTTCAAATACGTGGGCCCCACTCAAGATTTATAGTATAAGAAGGAAGGCTTCATGCTGACCTTTGCTGCATTTCTGCCTGTCGTTTTTCTTCTTCCTGTCTTGCTTCTATTCGACGAGCAATGTGACGTAATTTGGCAAAAATTTTTTTTATCTCCCTGTCATGCTTATTCTTATTATCAGACTCTAGTTTAAATAAATACGTGCAACAGTTAGTTTAGGGAGCTAGTTATCTCTCAGTCCAACAAAGAAGTGCAACACAATGCAAAACATTAAAAAAACAAACAGGTGTGTAGTCCACAATTTATAAATCACAAGCAAACTATAGGTGCTTATTTAACAGATTTCGTTCAAACTGTATCCCAACAAAAGCAGTGACATTTTGTTTCTTTTTAACACCTACTTGTTCCAAAATAAAACAATGTACTTCTACTTTTGTTTTAGCTGTTCTGAAATAACTGAATCAACTGACCTCATGGGAAAAGAGTAAGAAATACTGAACACAGAGGAAGACACACTATGCTCAGTCTAAATGAATGGTACGTGTATCTCAAATAAGCAAAAATACACCTGACATATGTTTTGAGATTTGTGCATCATTTTTACTATATAATTACTATTTTAGGTAAACCTTGATAATAGTGTATATATGTGGTTGATCATAGAGTAGCTAACAGTAGATAACAAAACCAAGACTATCAGTAAAATGAAGTGAGTACATGGAGGCATATTATAATATTTTGGTCTACATAACTAATTTATTTTAAATAAATCACATATGAAAATGATAAGACACATCAGGAATGAATAATCTATAATTAAAAGATTGTTTCTGTTACAAAAAATTCACTGTGGAGCTCCCTAGAAAAGCAAAATTCCCCAGTGTGTTTTTGAAATTAAGTAATGTCCATGGGTATTAAGAATGCATGTGATGGGCAAATATAGCAATATGACACTTTCAGGAATACTAAACAAAACGGAAACCACATTATGGCCTATATATAGAAACCAGCCTAAATCTTGGGAGACACCTGCTCATCCACGAGTGGATATGCTCTCTCCAAGAACCATCACTATCAGAGCTAGAAGGGACCTTAGCAATCACCTAGACCAAACTTCTCATCTGACCTGTGCTTTTTTTTTTTTTTTTTTTTTTTTGATAGAGGGTCTTGCTCTTTCACCCAGACTGGAGTGTAGAGGCACCATCACGGCTCACTGCAGCCTCCACCTCATGGTCTCAGGCGATTCTCCCACCTCAGCCTTCTTACTAGCTGGGACTACAGCTGCATACCACCTAAAGCTAGGTAGTTATGGTATAGTATGGCTTATTCTTATCCTCAACCCCCTAAGAGAATATATAGCCTACCCTTTCCACATCAGGCTAATATTTGTATTTTTTGTAGAAAAGGGGATCTCTCTTCTATGTTGCCTAGGCTGGTCTCGAACTCCTGGGCTCAAACAATCCTCTCACCTCAGCCTCCCAAAATGCTGGGATTACAGGTGTTAGCTACCATGCCTGGCCAGACCTACGTTTTTAAAAGCAGTTCCAAAAATGATTTCTCAAAACAAAGGGGTGAGAAGAAAGCTTTGGTAAGGACAAGCAAACAGAGAAGATACATTCCAATGTAACAGAGATTGGTTAGACTCTCTTTCTCTGTAGGGAAAATAATTCCCTAAAGTTCTCTCAATTGGGGAATAAAATGAAGTGAAACTTTCCCAGAATACAGTAAGATTTTCTGTGTTGCTAAGATAAACTTAGTGAAAGAACTTACGTGACTCTTTCTTATTTTTGTCAGTGCTTGATTCACTTTGCATAGATTGGGCACCTTGAAGAGGCATTTTATAGGGACGGGAAGGGTCTGCTGATTGTTTTGACTGTTTTGGCAGAGGTGATGAAAGCTGGTTCTTCTGGATTTGACTCCTGAGAAAAAGCAATACGTGTTTGCTAATTAATTTTTGGTGTACAATTTTATAAAATATGAGATGATACTATGAGACAATATTATAATCTTGGAATTTTTCTGAAAAGTAAATCCCTTTTTACAGGCTTTTCCCCTTTACATTTGTGTTACCATGCACACTCTATTATTTCACTCATCAGTCATTGACACGAAATTTGTTCTGGTAAAATACCTATCAGGAACAGTTGCAAATAAGCTGCTTACTTAGAACTGACAGGAGATGGTGGAGCACAAACATTCGCAGGAGAAAACGACTGTGTATGACATTCACTGTATGATACATGTTTCTTGGCAACAGCGTCTAAGTCCTGTTGGTCCGTTTCTGATTTCTGAACAGATAAACACAGTAAGATAAGTTACTAGCAATTCTCTTACTGCAGCTGGCTTTTTTTTTTTTTTTTAAGAGAAAAACATTCTGAATAAAACACAATTAGAATTCTTTAAACTGCAATTTTCTTTTAGAGCATGAGAAGCAGGACAGCGGTATTTTCTTCTGGACTAACTATTTATATTACACAATTCGAGGAGATCACAGAAGTAATAGGTTTAAAAGACATATTATGCTTCAAAACCTAACTCCATTTCCAAATCCTAACTCAGGGTTTAAAACATTTCTCAAAAAACGTTTCTTCAGAGTTTAGAAACAGAGTTCACATAAACTTACATTTTCTCCCTTCTAATAAAGACTCACTAATATTTCAGCTTTGGGGGAAAAGTGGTCCAATGAACATCTGAGCGTTTAAATTTCTAGTTTAAGTGAGTTAGCCTATTTTATTAACTATATTGCAGAATACTATAAATAATATGCTGGTTATGTTGTAAAATCTGACCTATTGTGAACGATACAACAAAATGTACATATTTTAATAGAAAATCTGTCAATAACAGACACTTGACAAACTCTTAGAGCATCTCTCACTTTTGCCTTGTGAGAGGCTTCCAAGCTTGCTTCAAGGGATGTCTTGGGGGGTGCTTCTACACTTGCCTCCGGGGACACTTTCGCCATCGCCTCTGTGTTCTCTTTGGATGACGCTTTCACATTTTCCTTGGGGGCTGCTCCTGCACACACCTTGGGAAGTGCTTCCAGGCTCACCTCAAGAGATGCTTCTACGCTTACCTTGGGAACTGTTTCCAGGTGCACCTTCGAGGATGCTTCTATGCTCAACTCGGAGGATGTGTCTGAATCAGATATGCTCATGAGAGGTGACAGGTCCACACTCAACACAGAGGAGAAGTCTATGCTCTCCTCAGAGATTTTATCTGTGGGGATTGTCTCTATATTTCCGTTGGAAATTATATCCACATTCAATGGGGAGGGTGCATCCATACTCTTGGGAGGTGTCTTGGGAGGTGTCTCTACTTCTTCTGAGGGAAATTCTTCTACTTTAGTTTGAGGAGGTATTTTCGCTGCCGATATGCGAAGCATAAAAGCTCTCAATTCATCACTAGTACATTTAGGCAGTGGCATAGTGACATACTGCATTACATACTTGGGGACGCCTGTAAGTGAATGAGGAAGGAGAATTAAATTCCGTTAGAAATTTCACAAGATAAGGATACACCACATATATAGTATAACAACAGGAACAGAGAAAAGAGATTGTTTATTAAGAAAGCACAGGGATTACACACAACACAGGAAATTTTAGTGAATTGGATGACACAGGACAGAACCATCACAAAGTCAGTGCTTCAGAAGCAACATGAACAATAGTCATTGTAAAGGCAATAGCTTGTTACAGATGAAAATAAGATGCTTCTCCAATGTTGATGTTTGCAGTAAGCTGTTTGTATTTTAATCACACTATATTTCAGAATAATTTTCACAAGAAATTACAAGATCTTCAACCCTTTCTAAAAGTAATCAAAACATTTTCTTTCACCAGGGCTAGAGATCTTACCATTATAGGTGATTATGTAAGACACTCCATATTTTATTGTTTTAGAATAGAATGTAAGAAAGAGCATTTTCTCACCCATACTAACAACTGTAATAAGACATTAATCAGAGTGAGTTGGATCTCCAAGGTCCCTTCCACCTTTAACAATCTAATTTTATTTTTCCTATGAAGCGGACAAAAATGATCATATTTGGTGCCAGGTAAGATGGAAGTCATTAATGCCAATGTTTGGAAACAGGCAACCTCACCACCACAGGTGGGAGTATAGATTTGTATATTTTCCCTGGGGGGCATAAAAAGTACATACTCTTTGTTCTAGCAATTCTACTTCTAGGTTTAACCTTAGGAAAAGAAATTACATAAATACATAAAAATGTATGCATAAAGTTGCTAATTACTATACTGTTTATAATACTGAAACAATTGCAAATACCATCCAAATGCTCCAAAGGAAATGTGGACTATATTAAGGCAGTCACTAAGAGTAATAACATGCAATATTTTGGACATAAAAGATGGTTTCTATTGAGTTTAAATTAAAGGTTATTTCATGTTGTGAAAACATGCAAAGAAAAATATTAACTTGCCAGTGAGCACTGGGATAATGGGGATTAGATTAAAAAATTCTTCTACATGAAATATTTATTGCTTATATAATTAATTTTTTTTTTTTTTTTTTTTTTTTTTTTTTTTTTTTTTAGATGGAGTCTCGCTGTATCACCCAGGCTGGAGTACAGAGGTGTGATCTTGGCTCATTGCAACCTCCACCTCCCAGGTTCAAGCAATTCTCCTGCCTCAGCTACCCAAGTAGCTGGGATTACAGGCCTGCGCCACCACACTCGGTGAATTTTGTACTTTTAGTAGGGATGGGGTTTCATCATGTTGACCAGGCTGGTCTTGAACTCCTGACCTCAGGTGATCTACCTATCTTGGTCTCCCAAAGTGCTGGGATTATAGGGGTGAGACACCATACCTGGCCTAATTAAACACTTTTAAAAATGTATTTGGAGGTGGCTTTCATAAGACCTGGTAAATTAAATTTTTAAAAAAGACCTGGTTAAATTTATCTGCCACCTCATCTTTAAGTATGGGTGGCAAATTTTCACGTAATCTTAGCAAATAATTAAAATAGACCAAATTACCAAAGACTGACTACTTATGAATAAAACTTTTAGCTATATTAAATGTTATGTTTCAGTCCCTCATTTTTAGTGGAGAAAGCATTTTATTTACATATCTACATATACCTAAACAGTCACATTAGCACCAACAGTTTGATCTACAGAAAATATAGTATAACTGGATTTTTATTAGCTATAAACATGTAAGACAAAATATTGAGGTTTTTTTTTGGATGGTGGCAATAGAAATATCTCACCATAGATTGGTGGGGGAGACGGGCAGAAAATAACCTGACATACATATAACTAGGTGTAAAAAAGTCAGGAATTAGGGTAAAAAAAATAAGGGTGCACTGCAAGAAAGTCTGTGATAGCGTTTGGATTCATTTTACTAATCATATGAATATAGAGAAAAAGCAAAGAGAGTGGAATATATACTGGAAAGGAAAAAGTGAAAGGGAAAAAAAGAGAAAAAAGTCATAGGAACAGTGCGTTAGCACTTTCCATTATTGGGGTGGGGGGTGTCTTGCCATCCAAAGGCAAGTCTTATACTGTATGTAAACTATAAATGAGAAAATGAGGAAGTCCACACAACACTGAAGATGTTTTATGTTAAGAACAATCTTAGGTCTCTGGTTAAAAGCTGAAGGATGATTCTATGCTATTCTTCCACATTTTAGGGAAAAAAGGAGGGTAGCGTAGGAAACTTCCTTCCTTGATAGTGAAGTTTTTCTACACTTCAAAAACCCACAGAGCTTTAAAATTTAACAACCACCTCCAGAGTTAACTATCTCATCCTACAAATTGCCTATCCCCCAGATCCAGATAACTGCCCTATCATGTTAGATATCATGTCAAAAAATAAATATGCAACATCAAATACTGGGTAAAATCACTAATATCGTAACTACTGATTCAAGCTATTTTGATGTCTAAATACAACAAATTCAGTGATGAAGCCTGCTTTGAAATGCAAATACTAATACCTCTTCAGGTGTTAGTATCAGACTTTCCACAACATGCCTGTTACCAGACTATCTTTTCTAGGGCTGGATAATGAAGCAGCACTTCTGCTTTTGGCTAATGACACTTTGTTGGGCTGAGCAGACAACTGATTAAATTATTCTCTTGAGAACTGATATATGAGCAATGAGCTATATAATGAGAACAAATTCAAAGGATTCTATTGCAAGAAAGAGCAATGCAAACTGCTCTCAACAGCAACCTTCCCAGCAACACAACGCATACCAGGATTGAACACTGTCATCTGACTGGACTACACTTTCAAGGAAGAGATTCCCAAAATAAAAGGAGAAAGGTCACAGCATACATACCAAAATAACTCCAAGGAGGGAGTATAGGTAACAATTCAAACACAGCCATTCCGCACGGTATGAAGTATGTACAGGAACTCACACTTGGGAAAAAAAGCTGCACATGGTAAAACAACTTTTACAAGGATTCCTACAGATGGACATCACTGAAAATCATAATGGTCAAGTCCACTGCCAAAGGCTCCAAGAAAGTGAGTAAACTCTTTCATTAAAAGTAAATTTTGTTGTAAATATCTTGTGCCAATAAATCTTCATGTTCATAAAGATCCCTGTGTCAATGACATTCGTTCTAACAGAATTTGACCTGAATCAATTAAGTGGACAGTCTTGGTATGAAGCAAAAAGCAACAAATACATATGAAAGGAAAATGCCAGAGAAAGGTTTTAAAAAGAAACTACTTTATGACCAGTGCAGTGGCTCACACCTGTAATTCCAGGACTTTGGGAGGCCGAGGCAGACAAATCACCTGAGGTCAGGAGTTCAAAACCAGCCTGGCCAATATGGCAAAACTCCATCTCTACTAAAAATACAAAAATTAGCCAGGTGTGGTGGTGGGGGCTTGTAATCCCAGCTACTTGGGAGGCTGAGGCAGGAGAATTGCTTGAATCCAGGAGGCAGAGGTTGCAGTGAACTGAGATGGTGCCACTGCACTCCAGCCTGGGCAACTGAGTGAGACTCCGTCTCAAAAACAAACAAACAAACAAACAAACAAACAAACAAAAAAAACTACGTTATATAAAGAAGTACTTTAGTAATCACTGTGAAATTCTGTGAATAATCAGCAGTGAAAATATGCACAAAGGGTAATGCTATGAAGCAAGAGCAAAGTTTTGAAGTTCAAAATGTGGCCGGGAATTTAAACTTCTAAATCCAAATTAATGAACTCTTGGAAGTGAATCAAATCCTCCAATACACTGCTATCTATACCAATATTCTGTTATTTATTTCTTCAGCTGCATTATCCACCCCCTGTCAGATGATGGGAGGAATTATATACTTCATTTACAGACAGATTGTTCTAGTTTTAGCCAAATAGGCATGGCATCAAAGCACATTTTTTAGTTTAAGTAGGAATATTTTGGCTTCCAATTTTGGAAATGATTTTTCAAGCAATTCAATGTTGACATAAAATACCTCTTTTAAATCACTACTTAAAATTTGTAGTTAGAAGTAATAACCACCTGGCTTCTTTTCCACTTGTTCTGTATTAGCAGATGAATGTGCCTTGGTATATCTTCTATTTAAAGACAAGCTTTTCTCCTTGTTGGTTTTTTCTAGAGATCAAGTACAAAGGAATATTAGTATTCATAATCTACTAATTATCTCAGGAGTGAGACAATCCTTTTTTAAATATTTTTTATCTTCTCTATCTTGCTTATAAGATTTAATTTCAAATAATATGCAGAAAGTCTATATCCCCAAACTTAAAGTGAGTTTATTCTTTATCTGAAATGAAATAGAATTATTTAGAAAATGGTAAAAATTAAGAAGTAAAATATCTGATACTGACATCAAAGTTCCCAAATTACAAGCATACAACCCTTTAGACATGTCTAATACTTAAAAGTAATTTACACTTTAGTTATAACTACTGTTTTTTGTTATATATGCATATAGTTTAAAAACACATATATGTATACACACAGGTATACACATACATATGAGAGCACACACCAATACAAAATGAAGAAAACATCAAGCTCCAATATCGATCATTTAAATAAAAATATATTTGTTCTTAACATAAAGAAAATGAATTATCTGAGTTATACATGTATCAGCTTCTAGGCTTTAACAGACTGTCAGTGTTTTACCCTACGGAGCCATTCTTTTGATATCAAGTGTAATGTTATCGATAGCTCTAACATCTGACTTCAGCTGCATGGCCAAAAAATGGCTTTCAGAGGCTCAGGTCCTGGACCTTACAAGTTACATAGTTATAACTAGTATTTTTAAAATAAAAATGAATATTGACAATTGGTATAGATGCCATGATTTAAGCAATCCAAGGAAAAATAATCTGCTGCCATGTAGATACTTTTATTTCATGTAAGATATTCTAGCTCAGCATACTGAGAAATGCCTGTTTAAAAAATAATTTCTTAGCTGGGCGTGGTGGCTCACGCCTGTAATCACAGCACTTTGGGAGGCCGAGGCGGGTGGATCACCTGAGGTCAGGAGTTCAAAACCAGCCTGAGCAATATGGAGAAACCCTATCTTTACTGAAAATACAAAATTAGTCAGGTGTGGTGATGCATGCCTGTAATTCCAGCTACTCAGGAGGCTGAGGCAGGAGAATTGCTTGAACCTGGGAGGCAGAGGTTGCAGTGAGCTGAGATTGTGCCATTGCACTCCAGCCTGGGCAACAAGAGTGAAACTCTGTCTCAAAAAATAATAATAATTTCTCTTTTGGGGATTCGTAAACTAAAGTACATGTTAACAACATAGTGTGATCTGAAAATTCCTTGAACTGATAATGTGATTGAGCAGCATGAACCACAGAAGTGCTTTGATCATGTGATTAAGTCAGCATCCTTCACGAGCATACTGCAAGAAATGACAAAATGGTGTGAGTAGTTATTATGAATCAGCAATGAGTAGCCACAAAAACAGACTACTTGAATCAACCAAGATTTAAAACAGTTATTTAAAATATTACAGGTTAGATTATGAACTTCATTTGAGTTTAAAATATTGATCTTTCTGTATTGACCAGGTTTTATTACAATTTAAAGGTAAGACATTGCCAATATGGACTTTATTTCCTATAAATCATTAATTATAGCATTCATCATTTCAGAGTGTGCAATATATTATACCTGTAAGCAAGTTATTTCACAAAGTATCTTCCACACATACCTTCTTGTATTAAAAACTAATAAAGAAATCATTTTAAAAGTTTTATTTGGAATTGCTCCTTCACAATACAATTTAACTAATTATTATCTTGAAGTCATAATCTGTCCCTTCTCTTTACATGTCTCATTAATAAGGCTTTTGCTCATTATATTAAATATGTAACAAATGTCTATGAAATAAATCTTTGCTAATTCCTGAAAGTAATTAGATAGTAAAACAGTCAATGCTTGTGGAACAATTAAGATATATTAAAGTGAAAGTACATAAACATGGCATTGCAATTAATGTTATCTAATTTTTCTAAAGGATTTAGTTGGCGAATAATAAATTAATTTTGCCATATTATAAGCAAGGTGCCAGAGAAAATCTTCCCATATTAATCTATGAATGAACCCAGATTATACATAAAAGTGCTTTGGGAAAGCATATTGAGGGTGGAGGTGGTAAGTGGATGAAATTTTCTCAGACCAGTACAAGAGAAAATGTGATATACTCAGACTGACAATAAAAGACCTCTCAAGTTCATCATTGAAATTTTAAGAGTCCTAAAAGTACAAATCATAATGTCAGTTTGAACAAAAATCCTTTCCCCTAGAAATACTTTTTAACATATTAAAAACTATATTGTTTTATGCAAAAATGGAAATCTTTTTCATAAGGTTAACTACTGCTACAATTAATTACTTTAAATGATATCCAAAATCTTTTGCTGTACTAGAATTTTATAGCAATCAGCATTGCTCAAAAAGTGTCAAGAAACCTAATAATGCAAAACATTTTAAAATGCAAACTATAATTATGCCTTTTTCAATTCATAAGGCACAAAAGCTGTCTTTCTTCATTTTTTTTTAATGGCTAAGTTTAAGGGAATGATGTGGAATTTGTATGCTCTTTTTCCTCTCAAGAACACTCCTTTCTTTCCTCTAGAAAGAAAAAGGATCTCTTTTTTTGGATTGAAGGTATGGCTGCCTATTCCATTTCAATTATCAGTGAGAGGCACCATGTGCTACAAGCCAGACGTAGTTATTGACACACACTTGGGTATAGATTTTTCTTTTAATAAGGAACACTAATTAAAAGGGCAAACACCAGAAGCAAAAAGATATTTGAATTATCCATAGTAGATAACTTCACTATATTTAAAACAACTCTGTATTGCCACTAGGAAGAGTTATAAAGTGGAGCTTGGCAATACATCTATCATTTAACATCATTATCACTTTATTTGCTTTTGGGGGAAAATGTTGACTTATAAATGAAAGGCACAATTTAAATATCATGATCCACCTATAAAATGACCAAAATATAAACCATAGAAAAGGATGTTAGAGTGGAAGTCACTGAATTTCTTCGAGTCTTAAGTACAAAACAAGGAAGGTAATTATACTTGTCTGTCAATTTTCTAAGATAATGGCGAATAACAAACATGATAAATGTAATGCAGATCAACTTGTCCACTGCTATATATATATGCTATTATTTTTCTTAAATGAGGTAATATTCACAATACTTAATGAAAATTGAATAACTAGTCTAACCAGTCCCCAAAAAACATGATTTCATTTATAGGTTGGCTAGAATATGAACTAATTTTAAAATAAATAATTATTTCACTGAATGGCAATGTCTTTTGGTCAAAATATGTTTCAGTTTGAGCTACTGAGGCCCAATAACCCCATCTGATATGATTAACACAAACATCATGAAACAAGTACATTGATGAAAATACAAGGCCAAGCATGATGGCTAACGTCTGTAATCTATTGGGAGGTAATCTGTAATCTGTAATCCTTTGGGAGGTCGAAGCGGGTGGATCACTTGAGGTCAGGAATTCGAGACCAGCTTGGCCAACATGGTGAAACCCTGTCTCTACCAAAAGTACAAAAATTAGCTGGGCGTGGTGGTGCACGCATGTAATCCCAGCTACTCGGGAGGCTGAGGCACGAGAATCACTTGAGCCTAGGAGGCAGTGGTTGCAGTGAGCTGCTACTGCACTCCAGCCTGGGCAACAGAGTAAGACTCTGTCTCAAAGAAAAAAAAAAAAAAGTAAGTATGACTATCTCTCTCTCTGCTGTAAAATAACATGGTACTCTTCTGAAATAAACCTAAATGTTCCACAATTCAAATAGGTGGTACTGTAAAAATATAAACTAATTTCATTAAATGGAAATTCAGTAGAATACATAAAATAACTACTTACTTTTGGCAATGGAAGTTTCAAGGCCTACAGATGTTGAAGGCATTTGTCTGACAAGAGCAAAAGAAGTTCCCTGTTGAAGTTTTCCAGCAGATAAAAATTGTTTATTGGCTGAGAAAAGACGTAACACTTACTGTAATCATATTTCAAGGAGGAAAGCATCATTAACTGAAACAAAACGAGTTTTAATGGTATAGTTCCATGGAGCACAGACTTACATTACTGAAGTTCACAATATTCACTACCTGTCATTCCTTTTTTTTTTTTTTTTTTAAGTAGAGACAGGGGTTTCACCATGTTGGCCAGGCTGGTCTCGAACTCCTGACCTCAAGTGATGTGCCCGTCTTGGCCTCCCAAAGTGTTGGGATTACAGGCACGAGCCACGGCACCTGGCCAATCCTTCTGAACTGTATAAATTTTACTTTCGTTTTCTGAAATTGTGTAGAATTATGTACACATAAGAAAATTTACACTCAATCAATAGATAAGGCAGACTTATTTTTTAAAATATGCATTCAATAAGCTGTGTAAAGCGTAGTCATTATTCACCAATTCATCATTTTTCTGCTGATAAGTTTCAATAAGATTGTAGGTATATTGAGCTAAATAAAAGCTACTATAAAATTTCACCTGTTTCTTTTGCAATGGCAAATGACACAAATTTAAATTTACCATTTACAGTATTTTTGTTTAGGATACAAAGACTAAAACCTTGCTGTAATGCAAGCTTCTATTCATAGCCAATATTTAATCAAGAACATAAACGAACTTAAAATTTAACAGATGTATTAATTACCAGTTTTGTTCTCAGAATTCGCCATGGCAGAGCCTCCCAATGACAATCTTTTTTGCTGATATTCAATAGCAAGTCTCCTCTTTTCCAATGTGTGGTGAAGAATGGCTGCAAATTTCTCCTATTTAAAGCAAATGCCAACATATTCTTACATATTCATTATATTAGTCAGTATAATTTTGTTGTGTGGTTTATAAAATAAACCATCACCAAATTTCTGTATCAGGTAAAAGTTTAAAATAATTGGAGACATGTCTCAACTATCAATCAATACAGTGCTTCTCTTGAATAACTCATTTTTTTTATCTTATAGACCCTGCATTGAGAAAATGACCCATGCCTTGTATCATTAGGAAATTTAGAACCAAGTTTGTAGCCTATTTCTAGCAACTGTACAAAAACTGATGGGTATACTTTTGTGTATGCTAATCACACTTTATGTTTTATTTGCCTACCTTAATTTTCCCCTCTGCTTGATTCCCTCAACCATTTATTTTATCATCTGGTGTGGCATGCATTTTTAAGTCACCTTAAATTCTTTGTGGAATGCGGCACGGGAAAAAATCAGCACACATATAAGTTAAATTTATACAAGAATCACCTATTATACTCTCATCTGTAACAGCTTAAATTCTGGTGTTAATAAAAATAAAGTTTCAAAAAAGATAATCAATATATTTGTCTTGACCTCAACTTTAACTTAAAGTGATCAAGACACTATACAAAGTCGATGCCACGGTGCAGCAAAACAACTCCACTTCCAGAAGTGAGCTCTTCTCTCAAATATTTCTCATCCTTGCACTGCACCATACCATGAACTCAGGGAAGCAAATCAACTTTTAGGGCCAGAGGTTTTCTATTCTTCCCTGTCAACAACCATTTCACAGCAAACGTCATCCTTACAAAGTCTGTACTGTTTCTACCAAGGGCAAAGATAAACATACTAGGAAAACGGAGAGCAGCCATACCTTCTGAGAAGAAAAGCAACTGCAATTCTTAAAATAAAATTGATGTAATGGCAGTATTTGAAAATTATATTATCTAACAGAAAGGCAGTTGTTCTGAATTACTTAGAAACCCTGAAACTGTAATAGACTAAAAACAAAGATTAATCTTGTATTATTAAACTATTTCTGATTCTATTCCACTGTTTCCAAAGGCATTACTTCCTGTGCTCTCATCCAGGTCCCTTCTCACACTGTGGCCACCCAGGACTCACATGGAAGTTCCTATCCCATCTCATATACACCTCCTGTCCATGCTCATCCCTCCTCAGCACCACTGAGTCTGGTTTTTGTTTTTTTTTTCCTGCTCTCTAGAATTCCTCTCTTTTGCTATATGTAGCCTACTTACAGTGCCACATGCCTCGTGTTGTCTGGGACTCCCCCACACTAGCTCTCTGGGGTTTTCTTTTGCCCCTTCTCATGCCATGTCTGGTGGCTCCCTTTCTGTCTGCCGTGTCATTTTGCTGCACTCTCTTCTCTGTTCTTTCTGGCAGCTTCCTCTTTCTCCAAGATTGTCTTTATTTTTTGGTCTCAGTCCCTGGGACTCTCTCCTCCATGCACTCCCCCCTCACTCTACACACAGTTTATGCTTCACTTCCTTTGGTTCTCAACTATCTTTACTTAGTTCATAATCTCTCTCTCTCTGGCCTTCATCTCTTCACCACAGATAAGTAAAATAAGGAGATGTTTCACAGAGGATGATGGAAAGTGATAGAAATTCGGAATGAGTCTACAAATAGTGGAACATTAAACAGAGCATAAACCACAGAAAAAGGTTTAGAAAGACAGATAGTACACCACGTATGGAGAAGAAGTGGCGTAAGAGGTGTTCTGGAATCAGGAAGCTCTCCAGATAGGGAGCAGGGCTGGAGAGGAAGCACGTACAAGAGCAACAGTATAGATGGGAAAGGAGGAAAGTGAGTACCACAGAGGAAGACAATAAGCTTCTTCGTGGAAGAAATGGAACCAAAAAGAAAAGGAGAGAAAAAAAAATGCAAAAATTAGAGTGACAAAATAAGAGAGGCAAATAAAAATAGAACACACTGAGAGAATGACAGACAGAGAGTCTAAAGATGGGAAAAAACAGAAGGTACGACAAAGACAGAAGAAAGAAAAGCAAGATGCCTCAGGCAGAAAAAGGCCAGAATCAGACAGAGACCCAAAGACAGACTAAGGCTTATTTAGGGACACTTAAGAATCCCTGGAATAAAGAGAAAGTGAGAACATCGGGAAGATAGAGAATGGTATCAGAGAGACCACGCTAGATTCAGAAGGAGTCAAGCATACTCCAAATCAAGTAGTGAAATGACCTATAAGAGAAAAA